GGTATTCAGTTAAAACATTATGTGTAAAAAATTCACATATGGTTAAGGTCCAAGCCTGTCAACTCCCAACTTGCTTTATAAAGACTTTGGTAGAAGTTAGTAACACTAAGTAAGAATAAGCTATTGAACTCGGAGTGGAGTACGTCATCATAAACTGTTATTATAAATATTTAATAGTTTTGTCATAAGAGTTACATGTTTATTTTGAGTTCAATTGTTTTCTTATATTGTATAGGCATAATATACTTATTTTTCCTTAATACCGTGTACCTACATGGAAGTGTCTGTGATAATTGTAAAAAAAAGCGGCTAAAAGCATATCTGTCCAGAGAAGTTGCGCCAGAACAAGCAAGATTTGTTAAAGGAAAAGGAACCCATGAACAACCACTGATTGCTTGCCAAATCATTGAGAAGGCTCAAGAGTTTAACAACACCCCATACAGATCACCATTAAAGGCTGTTGATGATGATGATGATAATGACATACATATCGTCAACAGCATATAAGAGGTTTTGGCCTACTACACCACGCTGGCCAGATGGTTTGGTATAGGGTTTCAACTCTTACAACACCCACGGTATGAATAGCGGGGGGGTGACAATACCAAAATGTATAAAAGTAATAAGACAAATAAAATACTCGTTATGGTCACCCAGAAGTCTAATGAAATTCATCATTATTATTTAAAGACTTAGGTATCTAGGTAGTCACAAACGCTTCAAGGAATGTTCTCGAAAAAAGAAAAACAAGATAATATATCTTTTTTTAAGTTGTACCGACTTCAGTCAATACTAACAAAATGATTAAAAATAAAAAATTATTACAAACCTAATTGAAAAGACCAAAATAAGTGCGATAAAATGTAACATTATAATAGCAATAGGTACCTTCTAGTCTATGGCCCGAGTTATGTCGGGGCACCAGGGACTTCCTTTCTAGGGTATACCAGGGCCTCAATTCTGCTATTTTATGTTTACGAGAAGCCAGTGTCATACCACTGACACGCTATTGAGATGCCATCGAGTAGCCATTGGCATCGGTATAAATATCGGTAGTTGAAAATATATTACGTTTTTTGAGGAAATGATTTATTTGTTTTTATTATAATAAATTATTAAAAGAAATAAATAAATTAAAATAACTTAATTATTTTTTTTATTAAAGAATAAAATAATAAATTAATTAAAATAAATTATTAAATTAAATAAATAAATTATTAAAATAAATAAATAAATTAAATAAATTATTAAAAAAAGAAATAATTTAATAAATTAAAAAATAAAAGTAAAAAAAATATTTAAATAAATAAGTCATTTCCTTATAATTTGAAAATATATTACGTTTTTGAGGAAATGATTTTTTATTTTTTATTTTAATAATTTATTTAGTTCTTTTTTATAATTTTTATATTTTATTCTTTAATAATTTATTTTAATTTATTTATTACTTTTTTCTATTTTTATTTTTTAGTTATTTTAATTTATTTATTTCTTTTAATAATTTATTATAATAAAAACAAATAAATCATTTCCTCAAAAAACGTAATATATTTTTAACTACCGATATTTATACCGATGCCAATGGCTACTCGATGGCATCTCAATAGCGTGTCAGTGGTATGACACTGGCTTGGCGTAATAGCAGAATTGAGGCCCTGGTTCCCCGTCTATTAGTACCCGAGACGGCGTGTGGTTTTAGTCGGTTCGAGTCCGACATGCCACCGACAGGTGGTATCCGAGGGGATTTCCGCACGGAAAAAAATAAATAAATAAAAATAATAATAATATAAGGTACCTTCTAGTCTGTTTAAAGTCGGTGCCAAACCCGATGCACAATAAGTGATACTGAGGACCCATATCAGTTATTATATCCGATAAATAACGAATTAAGAACTGAAAATATATCTAATGAAATATCACATATTAGTCTAATTACGCAAACTATCAACTGCTAATGAAATAAAAACCGTCCTATGAAGTTTTAAGCAAGTAGCGACATCTAGCGAACTCTCTGAGAACTAGAGTTGCATTGTACGTGTTGGTAACGGAAATAATTTTAACTTCTCTCACTAGAGATGTGGTTCGGGAACATCGTTTTATTAACTCTGCACAAAGTGAAAACGATGTCATGATGTCATAACTAGCTATTAAAGTTGCGTTTGTATGTCACAACTTCTTCAGAGTAAAGTAGTTTAGGTACTGAATATTGAAAATTACATACGATGTAAGAGTAAAATGCAATATTTGAATTGCAATTTCCACTGGAAGTGGGGAAATAATATCACTGTAAAATATTTTGAATAGTTTATATATCTTGTGGTTTTTAATAATTAAAGCTTTATTTCAAGCTTTATAAGAGTTTTATGTATATAAACTGATATAAAACGCGGACAAGTTTTTTCCGTACCAGTAAAAAAACCTATGAGAGGAGTACTGGATCTACCAATCTAAACTGTATATTATGCTGTTTATTTATTTTCTCATCTATACAAATAAATAAAATTGAAGTGTATGTTTGTGATGTCAAAATCATAGGTTCTTTTCATGCTCACATGGTTATTTACATAATACATTTTCCCAAAAACCAGTTTAAAAAATGTTTGTCTGTGTGTATGTTTGTTGCGGGTAAATTTTCTAAACGGTTTTGATAAAACTTTACTACCAGGTAGCTGTCTATATAAGGAGTAACTTAGGCTATTTTTCCTCTCAGGAAAACCCTTTAAAATTTTGCTCGGTCCGGGAATCGAACCCACTAACGAAGTGCTTTTCAAATTGAAGCTAATAAATAAGCGATACTTGTTTACCCAATTAATTGAAAACAAAATTAAACCAAAAATGGAGCTTCAAGGTAAACACTACCTGTGTTTACCTTTAAGCTCAGGCTCAGTGATAACAACGAGCAACAAACCCCCTTCAACATCTCATTATAATTACATCTATAAAACATAAGTTGTACCTTGCCACGATTCGCTGTAGCACATTGTTATTGCGTTCATAAGAAATAAGGAATAAAACTGACGCCAAAAAAAAGGTAAACACCATCATTGTATATCGTGTTAAAATTTAAGCTCCTTTTGAGTTTTAGAGGCATACTAGGCCAACTTAATATTTATATATATATAGATTACATTTTTAATACAACATTATGTTGTATTTTAAAGAACAATAAAGTTTGTTTACTCCAAAATATACTATCACAAGTATGTTTTTATTAGATAACTTGTCTCGGCAACGACAAAATTAACGCTAGATAAGCTGACCCCGAATTTGACTTCTCAGTTAATTTACGCAAAAGATAATTCGTTTTACTTTACCCAAATGCCTTTGTATATTTCATATCAATTTATAAATTACAATTGTTTTTTTTCAACTCTTGACATAACTATCGAAGACCACTGATCTTTAGAAGTAGTTATTTTTATAGTTCAATGAAGTACAGGAGTTGTAGTATATGTATATATGACTCGTAGAAATAATTATTCACAAAACCAGGGTACACCACCAAATACCATGGTCAGACAAACAGATGTACAGGGTCCAGATATGTTCACCAAAGGAGTTGCTTTCCTACTAGATTTTATGAGCGTGTATGTGTATATCCCTCAAAAATTACAATTCAAACATTAACACGTATTTTAGAATTGCCTATAAAGTTAACTGTTTAACCACATATCCCGTTTGTGTTAACATAAATCCCGCTCTATAGAACAATTGTATTATTTATTTTCAACAGAGTGAAGATTTCAGCAGTTAAAATTTCGTGTAGCTTGACTTGACTTGAATTTCAAAAACCAATAACCCGACTTGAAAAAAAAGAATTTTAAAGTAATTCACTAAAAAAAATATTAAAAAAAATAGTTTAAAAAAAACTAAAAAAACACGCTTTTATGGAAAACCAAACTAAAAATTTTTTTTAACTACTTTTTTATTTTATTTTTTAAATTAGTGTATTGTCATCGGTCCTAGATATATCTACAAAGTTTGAACGAATTCTGACCGTTTAAAGTCAGTCAAAATTACGCCCAAAGGAGTCGGTTACAAACATACAAACAAACACAAGTGAAGCCAATAATATAAAGCGTGTAAAAAGACCGTGTCTCGGTTTAAAATTATTTTCGAGGTCCGACGAAGTCCGACAAAAACATTTCAAATTTTTACGCTATCAAAAACTTTATAAACCAATTTATTATTCCTTAATCAATTTAAATATATATTTGTAATCTCTTATTAATTTTAATGATTATGGTTATTATTATTTTATTAACCTATATAACTATTAACTTTGCTCTAAAAAGCCGCTATATTATTTTTTCTTTCAAAGGTTTCAAAAAAGACTCTTAGGTTGTTAAGACGGAAAAACAAATACCTTAACTATCAAAATCTAATCGGCCATTTGGAAGATACAAGGTAATCAAGAAATTTACAAACTAAAATACAAGTACTACTAACTATTATACAGTATTGAAAAAGGGCAATGAATTAAGTTTTTATCAAGCAAAAACAGAATTACGCTTTATCTCATGATCGCTTGAGTGCAATACACCCTGTATAAGTTACATTCAGTTGCATTCGTCGCCCCTGACTCACACGCGGGCCAGCTAATTAAAATATTTCGTCAACAACATACTCTCACCCTAACTTAGCGTGCACTAGGCATACGCATATTTTTTTTATATAAATCGCAAATAATAATTATTAACACGCAATCTTTTTGATATTGGCAGTACTCGGGCAGCGCGGCGCATGCGCTGGACAGTTCAGTGGCAGTTTTAAATTTAGATTTGTGTCGCCGGAATTTTGCTGGCCTATTTCCACCGCCAGATTCGGTATAATTTTATTAGAATTCAAAGGTACAATTGTTATTGATGATCGGTTAAATTATTCGAGTCAGTGATTTATCGGGGATGAATCTGTGTGATGTGAAGTGAAATGAAATCTGTCTCAGTACTGTGAGTGCTTGCGTGGTTATGTGAACAAATTAGTTAGAGTACTACATCAAAATGTTTGGGAGAGTTATCGTCGTGCTATTGTTATTATGGAAACAAGGTAAGGTACTTCAGTGTAAATGTTTAAATGTACTTAAGGAGTTAGGCTGGTGTGAGTTGTTGCCACCTGGTGGAGTACAATGGAAAAGCATGTGTACGGTTATAGATGTTTGGTTACTAATTCAGTAACCAGTGAGTCACGGTCAACTCTCCCGCTGACAATCACCCAGTTACAAAACAGTAATATTTAGGCACGTAATTGTAACCAATGACATTATTCATTGTTTCAATTTCTAGAAAATATTTTACTGTGCAATTTAGAGTTATAAAAAGTAGATTTTAAACGGTATATTCTAACAGTGTGTGAGAACAAAAGTTAATCCCATTAAAATCATTACATATTAAAATCAATTCTTCCTGAAAAAGTTATAACTAAAAAACTAATACGGGCCTGTTGGTCTAGTGGTTAGTGACCCTGACTGATAAGCTGGAGGTCAATGGGTTCGATTCCCACCAAGAAAATATATTGTGTGAAGAGCACAATCATTTTTGTTTTGTGTCTGGATGTGAATCATATAATAAATTTATAATATTAAAAAAAAATACCAATGAATGTAGCATCTGCATCATACTATATTCTGTGTTTCGACTATCAGCTCCACTCCTTCTAATTATTTTATTGTAATAATAGCTTATGATTTTCTATTAAAAATCAAAAAGAAACGTCTTACAGAACAAATAAAGGAATAATTCCAAAAAATTAAAAAAGTTAAAAATTGAGATAAAGTTTGGTACTACTACCACTTTTGCTAGTAGTAGTACTGGTACTCAGTTTGTAATTTGGTCTTTTTCGTATGCTCTTTTTACTTTAAATAACAAGTCATTACAAAAGTTTTTATAGCGTTTAAAAGTATTTTTTAAGATATCATTATCCGATGTTAAACAAGATTTTTTATGTAATTTGTCCCTATTTTGCATATATCTTAACAATCCTGGAGTTATCGAGGGATTTTATAATTTTCTTACGTCTTGTGTGTATTTTGTTCGAAAAGAGTTTGAAGGCATTGCGTGAGATAGTTTAGGTTAGTGTTTGGGTCTCCCGATTGATAAAAAGGATCGAAATTAATTTTCAATACATCTCCACCTAATTCTATGCTTTAGTTTTTATTAGTACGTGGTCAAGGCAGGTCTCACTGTCACTCGCGATGCGATTACGCATATATGCGATGCGGCCATGCCCCGCATTCGAGGTCGTCGGCCTCCAAGGAAGGAGGTCTACTGGTGGTCCCAGGAGCTGGCGGACCTCCGTGCGGCTTGTACACGTGCCCGGAGGTCCTACACGCGCAGTCGGCGGCGTCACCGTGGAGACGGTGAGGAGGACCGGCTTCATGAGGAGTACCGACAGGCGCGGAAAACTCTGAAGCTGGCCATTAGCCGCGCCAAAGAAGAAAAGAGACAGGAGATGCTGGAGGGTCTTAATGGTGACCCCTGGGGTCGCCCTTACCGCGCGGTGCGACAAAAGCTCCGCGCGTCGGGCCCCCCCTTACGGAGACTCTCCAGCCCAGCTTCCTGCGAGAAGTGGTTGAGGGCCTTTTCCCACAACGAGCGGAACACACTCCCCCGGCGATGGCCTCCTTGGCCGGAGACGACGGGGAGCACGGGGAGGATAATGTTCCGCCCGTCCGGGATTCGGAGGTAGGGGCGGCTGTTCTACGGATCCGTTCCAAGAACACCGCCCCTGGGCCAGACGGGGTACCGGCCCGAGTGCTGGCCCTGGCCCTCAATCACATGGCAGACCGCCTCGGGGAGGTGTTCGACGCTAGCTTGGCGTCGGGACGCTTCCCTGAGTGCTGGAAGAGCGGGAAGCTGATCCTATTGAGGAAGCCGGGACGGCCTGCCGATTCGGTCGCGGCCTATAGGCCCATCGTGCTGCTGGACGAGGCGGGCAAATTGTTTGAGAGGGTTCTTGCTGCCCGCATCGTCCGGCACCTCTGCGAGGTGGGCCCCGATCTGTCGGACGCCCAATTTGGTTTTCGGGCGGGGCGTTCGACAGTCGACGCCGTGTTGCGCCTGAGGGCCGTGACCGAAGAGGCCGTGAGCTGTGGCGGCGTGCTGTTGGCGGTGTCATTAGACATCGCCAACGCATTCAATAGTCCACTATCATGGGGTCACTCCACTATCATGGGGTGCCAAAGTACCTGAGGCGGCTAGTGGCAGACTATCTAGAGGAGCGTACCGTCGTGTACGAGGACCGAGAAGGTAATTTGAGGTGTTGGCCCATGTCGTGCGGTGTTCCACAGGGGTCTGTTCTTGGACCCCTCTTGTGGAACATAGGGTACGACTGGGCCCTTCGCGCCGATTTCCCCCCCGGGCTGGGTGTAATCTGAGGCGCTGGGCTTACGGGTGGCCCTAGATAAGACGGAGGCCCTGTTATTTCATGGGCCCCGTCGTGGTCCACCCCCTGGCGCCTCAATCGTGGTCAACTCGGTCCTCGTAGCGGTTCGGGCCCAGATGAAATATCTGGGCCTGATCCTCGACGGGAGGTGGCTCTTCGACGAGCACTTCCGACAGCTTGCTCCAAAGCTGGTCGGCGCTGCGTCTCCCCTAGGGCGACTTTTGCCCAATATGGGTGGACCCAGCGTCGCGACAAGACGGCTGTACACGGGGGTTGTCCGGTCAATGGCACTGTACGGTGCACCGGTGTGGGCGGCGGCTCTGACCGCCCAGAATAGGGTACGCCTCTGACGCCCTCAGAGAGTAATGGCGGTCAGAGCCATACGCGGTTACCGCACCGTTTCGACGGAGGTGGCATGCGCGTTGGCCGGAACTCCCCCGTGGGATTTGGAGGCGGAAGTGCTCGCCGAAGTTTATCGGCGAGTGGCTGACTCCCGGGCGGAGAGCGGATTTCGCCCTCCGCCCGAGGATGTGCGCGAGTGGCGCGAAGCCGCTCGCCGAGCCACGATGGCTCGTTGGTCGTTCCGGCTGGAGACTCCACGCGCTGGCTTCGCCGCCGTGGAGGCTCTCCAGCCGGTCATCGCCGAGTGGGCAGGGCGGCAGCACGGGACCCTTTCCTTCCGGCTGACGCAGGTGCTTTCCGGGCACGGTTGCTTCGGAAAGTACCTGCACACGGTCGCTAGGAGGGAACTGAGTCCCGCCTGCCACCACTGCGACTGCAGTGAGGACTCGGCCCAGCACACGCTGGCGGTCTGCCCCGCATGGGCGGCGCAGCGCCGGGCCCTCACTGCAGTCATCGGAGTGGATCTCTCGCTACCGGCTGTAGTACGCTCCATGGCCGGTAGCGACAGTTGTTTTACCGCGGTCGCAACCTTCTGCGAGGTAGTAATCTCGCGGAAGGAGGCGGCGGAGAGGGCCCGGGAGGACGACCTCCACTCGGACCCGATCCGCCGCCGGCAAACCGGGCGGCGGAGGCCCGCCTATCACAGCCTCATGCCGCCCTGAGTGTGGCCGCGGGTGGACGGGGTGGGTTTCCCCTCCACCCGCATTAGTTTGGCCAGCCGCGAGGGGGCGGCGTCCGCGTGTGCCGGACGTCGCCTAAAGAGAGGAAAAAAAAAAAAAATATATTGAGACGGAGCCCGCACCAGGAGCGGGCTGGCGCTAGGAGGGGTCCGGATGTCTTAACAACAGCTGTTCCCGGATCCCTCCTGTTACAGGCGCAGAGTGGCACACCGTGTGGTTTTAGTCGGTCCGAGTCCGACACACCACCCCGCCGCAAACCCCGGAGGGGTGACGGTCCGAGGGCATTTCCACACGTTAAAAAAAAAAAAAAAAAAAAAAAGGTCTCACTGTCACTGCCGGTTATTAATTGATGTGCTGATAGAAACCCATGTGTAGCAGTCAACGTTAAACATCTTTCCCCGTTTATGTCTACTTTATTAGCATTTATTGCTATGTTTATATCACCCATGACTAAGGCATGTTCAAATGATGAGATCCCCTGCAGAATATTATCTAGAATGGCGATCTGTACAATGCAACGATGGCAGTGCAATTGTCAACGGTTGCCACCAGACAGTTACAGTCTTGGAAATACGTCTCTATTACATGCACATTAAGATTGTCTTTGTAGTATAAAACCACTCCGTCATTCTGCTTAGGATTCATCTTAGTCGTGGAGTGACAATATCCGACCAAGTTGTGAATGACAGATGCACAGGAGAGCCAACACTCTGTCAATATTAATATGTCACACTCTAGTTTCATTCTGTGTAGCAGGACCTCCAAATTTAATATATTCCAGTTTATATTACAGTATATTACAGTATTCTGTGACAGTATGAGTAGGTGTTTAGATTAGCCAGTAATAATATCTTGTCATTTTTCTAAATCTGCGGTTTTGGAGTGGGATACGGATAACTTATCTAGATCTACGAAGTTCATTATGGCATGTTTTTAAAGAATTGTAGACGTGTTTTAAACTCGTTATTATTTATTTTTACAGGAACAGTCAACAGACACTTCTTTAATAAATAGTACTAATAATAATATATCACGTAGTAATAATATTACCAACCAAATTAACCTATTATACCTTCTACTTTTTTTCATCTAAAAAGAATACCAATACATTACAGAAGAAGTTAACAGTCTTCGCCTAGTGGAGCTACGGGTTCCTACACACGAGCGAGAAGGCGGCATGGCTCTCCTCGGCTGCCAGTACGACTTGGAAGGTGACACCCTGTACTCATTGAAGTGGTACAAAGAGTCCCGAGAATTCTACCGGTTCGTTCCTAAGAATGAACCACCCGTATACTACTTTCCTACACCTGGGGTCAATGTAGATGTAAGCAAAGATTTCATTTACGTCCAAATTAATAAGAAAAATAAATCTGATCTAAACTAGGGCTTATCCAGAACCTATTACAATATTTAAAAAAATATACAGACGAATTGAGAACCTTCTCTTTTGTTTTTGAAGTCGGATGCAAAATGAATTTTCTTGAATTTTGGTTTTTGTGGATATGATTATTTGAAAGCTCCTTAGCTTAGGATCTACATGGTTTTACAAAAAGTCAAAGGGACAGTCATATTATTAGGGCTAGTAAAAATCACAAGGCAAAATAATCTTTCTACATTTATAAATTCGTAAATTTCTGTGAAGGGTTTTTGTTTTGATACGACTGACAACCTGTATAGCATTTATTTGAAAAAACGGGAATAACAAATTACTTTAAACTTGAATTTGTGTTCCATGCTAATGCTTGTCTAATTTACAATGTGTCATCATAATCTTTATATATGTTAAGTTTTAATGCCTAACAAACAATATATTGTAAGAACATCATCAAACTATTTAAACTAAAAGCAAATAAACCCCGATTTTATGGCGGAACTATCAGAAACTTAACCTGATTAGGCGATTAGGCAACTGTACAAATTGTAAATCTAAACACCAATTTAGATAACCTACGACAACTGCCGATAAAAGGACTAGTTTCAAATATGATTTTTGTTTCCAGTGATATAATATACTATATTAGGGATAAACATTCAAACGACTAAAATAAGTAAGATTACTCAGAAGGGTAACTTACTTAATTTACTGTCAACTTTAATAGACGTGTAAAAATTTAGGTTATTTTGTTTGAAATGAAAGTGATATCGCGTATTTTATTTTCTTCTAAAAAAAAATTTTTTTTTTAATATTTATAGTCATACACAGTGTTGACTGTATTTAAAATTAATCCCTACTAAAAAAAACTAACCTTAACGTTTTCTAAGTAGCATGTAATTATAAAAAAAAGTTATTTAAGTATGTTTATAATATTATAGTGTATGAATATGCAACTCGACACTTTAAAAAAAATTAAAACGGTTAATTCTCTCAATCAACAACACAACTGCGAACTTATTATTATTGTGCAATGCCGACTAAGAAAACACAAAATAAATCACAAGCATTATTTAACTAAGTAATACTTTTAATGTGTAGCCTATAATTTACTGTCTTCAGATTTACTAATCTCTTTGAGCTAAGTTCATAATTTCAAAGATACAAAAGGTAACGCACGACCTTTTGTATCTTTGAAATTATGAACTTAAATTTCTAGCGTTGATGTGCTCAAATAATACGAACAGTTAACACCCTCGAAACGTCATCATGACAGATCTCTGGATAGCAATAACCATATTTAACTTCAACGCGAAATAAATATCATTTGACAAACATAATAAAGGCTAATCTCCAAACACACAGCCGCTTTACAGTACTATGCTCGTAATAATATTTATTATGTTACCACTTTACCTCATGCTATGTGACATGATACGTACGATTTGCTATACGCAACTAAATTATGTACAAAATACATATACTCGTATAAACTTAGGTTAAGTAGGCATAATTATGTACTACTGTATATACGATCAGATAAATCCGACCAAAAATATATTTAAAAAATGTTTTTAGTAACAAAGCACTTCTAATTATGTTTCTATTTTGTAAATAATGCAAGCGAAGTGCATTAAACACTCGAAAAAAGTTTTGTAAAAAAGGATGTTTTTGTATGACAGGATTGGCAAAACTAAAGAATAACTAACTAACTAAGAATAACTCCTACCGCAATTAAGTAAAAAAGAGTTCAGCACAACCTACAGCATTATACCATCGTTACCAATCCTTAACTGTTGAAATCGCCAAACCGAATCATATGGGTCCAAACTCAAGAGATTTGTTACCAACATCTGGAGAGATCAACTATTCTCCTTTTGGCTCCACAGATGGCAGATCAGTTCACAGAAGGCAAAAAACAGTATTGCCATCCAAACGATACATATTAATTTCGATATGATAATACTAATATACATTTAGTAATAGTTCTAGTAAGTTAAAATTGACATAAAATAAATACGTTTCATGTTAAACAAAATAGTACTCTAAGTACGTCAGTGTACGATACACTCAGAGTATATAATAAGAATATTATTTATAAATGAATTAACAATAAATAAATAGATAAATAACTTTATTTTTACACCATTGTTACAATGAAAGTATTATACAAAAAGGGCGGCATTGTAAGCAATCTTTTTCAGGCAACCTTTGGGTGGATCAGACAGATTAGGAGAGACAGGCAGTTGGTGGTGGATGAAATTTTAAAGGAATAATTAATTAACTTGTAAAAAAAGTGAACAAATAATTATGTTATCAAATAAGCTAATTGAAGAAAAATCTATTTCCTTGTTTCACGACCATTTTCGGAAATTGATTTTGGAACATAGGTACATGTTGTATCGATCGTGTAAATTCACAAGAACATACTCTTTACAATAACATTTATTGCCTACACAGTCTTAATCTCTAGTGATCTGACTTCAGGAGTTAGTATTTATGTGTGACCATGAGTTTCTGTTTCGACGCCCGACTTTATCCAATTGTCGTTTTATCTTTCCACTATGATGAAATATCGGTCTATCCGGTCTCATCAAATATTGATTTGAAATAGTACGTCACCTGCAGGTTTAACCAGACGAAAAACTTATATGGAAAATATTATGCAACACGTGACAGTTCGGATACTTTCATAATGTCCTACGTTGTTTTTATTAATACTTTTAAAGTATTTTCATTGCAAGTTTGAGTCTTAATTTAGTAATAAAAATGTATTTTTTCTTAAAACTTAAATTTGACGAATATGAAGTACTCCATCCTAAATAAACTTTATTATTATTATTACTTAATAAATGAAAACTGAATGAGTTCTGAAGTAAAAAACAGAAAAAAAATACCGAATCAAGAATCTGCTCATTTTCTTAAAGTCGTTTGTTTCAACGAGTAAAGATTGTGAAATTTTATAAGATATAAAGCCAAATGGCGCTGGTTACGTAGAAGATATATTAATAAGCAAACAATAACACATGGAAACGCTTCACTCCACGTAGCAGACTGACACAAACTATGAGTATTTTTAAAACGATTAACTTTATGAACAGTATGAAAAAAATCTGTATCTCGTATGTGTATGAGTAATATTCCGGTATTAGCTCTTTCTTAGAATAGGTGGTCACTGACAATTAAATGTTGTTTTTGTTAGACTCGTTATATTTGATATACATTAAATGATATGTTGGTATTTTATATTAAAAACAAACGGTTACGAGTTTATAAATCATTGTAAATAGTAGTCGATGTACTTTTCCAGGCTTATAATCTATCTCTGTGCCAAATATTATATATTTAAAGCCGATCTTCCGTGATTGAGTAACAAACATCCAACTCCAAAATTTTTTGGGATATCTTCACAACGCCAGTTGCTTTCACACACACTAAGTACACAACAAAGTTGTAAAAATCAGCTACTTGCTAACACAATAAAGTAAGTTATAAACATAACGAAAAAGTTGTACTTCCTATTTTTCCAAGAGCAAGACCACGATTATAGCATACTATACGAATGCTATGTATGTATGCACTGGATAATTTATAGAGACTGGAAGAGTAAGTGCTAACCCAACAGCGTTTTATTTTTTCCTCTCCTACAAACTTTTAACCTACTATTTTCTAAATTCTTATGTCATTTCTTGTTTTGTCTCTCGCATAAAATCTTAAATATATTTTTAAAATGATATTTGTACATATATTTCAGATAGCCCGTTCATCCAACACAGTCGTCGCGTTATTAAACCTAACGCAAGAGTCAGCGGGACACTATCGCTGCGAAGTCTCTGGTGAGGCACCGCTGTTCGCCACAGTTAACAGGCAGAAATATATTAATATTCATTGTAAGTTTTTTTTTTATTTAGTGTTTACTTTATACACTGTACTTCGAAGTTCTGTTAGTTGTCTCTGACCTGCTTAATTTGTTTTCATTTTTATTTTAATATTTATTAATATAACTTTATATGAATAAATAAATAATTTGTACATAATAATAAATAAATATAAATAAATAATTTGATGATAGTATAATGAGAATTGTATATGGCATCCTATTTAAATTGTTATGCAACTTAAAATTAACATTAATGTATAATATATAATTCTTCTGTACGTGTGCTGACGTGAAATTTTGTGTGTATATTTCAATGAGTTCTTGGAGGGTTAGAAATACAATCGGTTTCGATAGGTGGCGCTGCTGTTTGTATGTCGCCAAATTTGTCACATAATTTATGAATTCTGAGGCGGTTCGAAGTTCGACGGGTCAGCTAGATTATTGTAATTTCATAAGAAAGAACATGAATTCGATTTTTCTCCGTGCAAGGTTTTCAGTTTTAAATGAAAATGAAAGTATAGCAATAAATGTTAATCTATTGTTGTTAGTACTGCCAAGGACGGGGCCGCATGTAACTGGTCTGCAAGAACAGTATAAAATTGATGACATCGTAGTTGCCAACTGCTCATTACCTCCATCTCGACCGAAGGCAAATCTCAAGTGGTTGATAAACGATCAACCCGCTGCAGCTGAATACGTGATAGGACCTTGGTACAGAGTGTCGGCAGAGCGTCCAGATGCTGCAGAAACAATCCTACAACTTAGCTTTCAAGCAACTTCAGCCCATTTCATAAATGGAGCAATAAAACTTAAAGTAAGTGTATTATAATAAAAAAAATACAGCATGCTTACTCATAAGTACGTTGAAAATAATGATCAAGATATCTTATATATAAAATTCTCGTGTCACAATGTTAGTTACCATACTCCTCCGAAACGGCTGGACCGATTTTTCTGAAATTTTGTGTGCACATCGGGTAGGTCTGAGAGTCGGCCAACATCTACATATTTTTCATACCCCTAAAGACAAGGGTGACCCACCCCTATTTTTTTTTTTGTAATATTTCCTATAAATAATGTATATGGCAAAACAACGTTTGCCGGGTCAGCTAGTTAGTTACATAAATACAATTTACTGACAATAAATGTCTAAAAAAAGTGTACTAATGCTAATAAAGATAATACTATAGGTATACGTTACATATGGTAACGTATCTTTTTTTGTAAAACTACATGAAAAAAGTTTTTTGGTGAATGTTATTTAATATATAAATCACAATGAAAACAGCCCCATCTTGTTTCAGTGATAAGTAATTTGTAAGCCGCTAGTTGTAATATAGTTACCCAGCAAACAAGCAATTGGTGTGAATCAATGCATTTGGTTATTCAATACATTAATTTTTATATTTGCTTTAAATGATGTAAAATAAACCATTTCAGTGTCAAGCTACAATAGCCCCGCTGTACCAAAGAGAAACAGAATCTACGCACTACAAAGCATTTCCTATCACAGCGACAACAGATCCTCCAGATGTGAATAAGGCATCCTTTTCAAAAGGTTAGACATGAAACAAGCTGAAACTTTTCAGATCATGTTCATTATAACTTATTTTATGAAATAGGGGGGAAAAGAGCAAATATATCACTTTGTGGAAAGTAACCACGGCCGCCCATAAGCGCTTGCAACTGAGGAGTCATGAGCACTTTAAATAACTATTACAATAATATTTGCGTTTTTGTTAGTCTGCCCTGAGCTTGTTGCAAAAATTTGCCGTCTTTAAGGACAGCAAATACATTTTTCTTGCGTAGTGTGGTAACTATTAACAATATTTCCTTAGACCTAGATATTGTCCAATTTCATAGCTATTCAAAAAAAAAACCTATTTGCCAATCGCCGCCTTATTGCAGAGCGGCCTCTGCAATAAGGCGGCGATTGGCAAATAGGTTTTTTTTAAATAGTTTACTTGCTTGACAGATTTTCGTAAAACCGTGTTGTTATAAACATGTACTAAATTAATGGTTATTGTGACTTACATTCAATGTGTTCTCTTCGTTATTTGTGGAAAAAATGTAATGCAGAATACATTGTTATTAGTTTGCTTATACATATGTGGAGACTTGTTATAAGAAAACTTTTTAATAAATTTTATCATTAAGTATTTTATGTTATCAGTCTGTAAGCCTTCGTAAAACAAATAAATAATAGAGTAGTCTGGAAAAGTTCGCCGTGAGCGATAAGACCGCCGATTCTTGTCCACTTATTTGTAACTCATCTTTTGTTTTTTTTTAACGTTTACAATAAAGATGTAAATAATTAATAAATAAATAATGTGAATAGTCCTTTCTCTGTTGCTGGTTGAGGATTGCTAAATAATTAGCTTTCTTCCAAGTACGCTTACTGGTCACTATGGGCGGTGGTAGTCGCTTTCCATCAGGGGGACCGTCTGCTCGTTTGCCCCCAGCCCCCCTCCCCCCCCTATATCATACATATTATAGTAAATCAAAACACTATAAGTATATTTCTATTGGTAACTAAAAGATGTTACGTAGGTCACTATATCAATTTTGAGACACGCAAAAATTAAACAATATACACGGTGATTTTTTAGGCGTTTTGGAAACGAAACATTTTAATTTGGAATCATCTATAGTACCAATAAAAATGATTAAATCAATTGTAATGTTGTCTAAAAAAAGTTTCAGTTTTAATATTCATTTTTACTCGATCGACTTGGAAAGTAGTAATGGACTGATCAATTCATTATCTTAAATGAATGAAACACGTCCGTGGGCGTTTCGGCTGCGCACCGCTGACGCTAACAGCAGCTGATAAAAGTATACCTATAGGCGCGAGCTAGCGAGTACTTACGTAGATAGACTCCAATTTGTCCTTCATAATTTACACGGGCTAAGGATCGTCGGAAATACCTATTTTATTTAAACTTCTTTTCGATTATTAACCACGATTGTTCTTTTCATCATCATCATCATCATCATCAGCCTATCGCAGTCCACTGCTGGACATAGGCCTCTCCCATTGCACGCCACTTAGATCGATTTTGGGCTTCTCGCATCCAGCTCCTGCCAGCCATCTTGCGCAAATCGTCACTCCACCTGGCCTGTGGGCGTCCTACACTACGTTTGCCAAGACGCGGTCTCCACTCAAGAACTCGTTTTCCCCAACGGTTATCGGTTCTGCGGCTAATATGGCCAGCCCACTGCCACTTCAGCTTGCTGATCCGGTACGCTATGTCGGTGACCTTAGTTCTCTGCCGGATCACCTCATTTCTGATGCGATCCCTTAGAGAAACGCCGAGCATAGCCCTTTCCATAGCACGTTGAGCGACTTTGAACTTGTGGACCAGCCGTACCGTAAGTGTCCACGTTTCAGCTCCGTATGTCATGACGGGTAGGACGCACTCATTAAAGACTTTCGTCTTAAGGCACTGTGGGATCGACGATGAGAAGACTCGACGTAGCTTCCCAAACGCTGCCCAACCCAACCGAATTCTTCTGTTCACCTCGTCCTCGAAGTTGTTTCTACCTAACTGACACACATAATTTTGAACAACTTCGAGAACGGCACCGTGTACCGCAATCGGTTCCGGTAGTACATGTTCGTTGAACATGACCTTGGTTTTATCCAAGTTCATCCGTAGGCCGATGCGTACAGAAGTGTCAGCTAAGTCATTCAGCATCTGCTGTAGGTCCTGCAACGTCTCTGCCATGATGACGATGTCATCTGCAAATCGCAAGTGAGAGATGTATTCGCCATTGATATTGATGCCACGCCCTTTCCAGTGCAGCGTCTTGAACATGTCCTCCATTGCATTTGTGAACAATTTCGGTGAAATAACGTCCCCTTGTCTCACTCCTCGATGCAATGGTACGGGCCTTGTTTGCTGATTCTGTACTTGGACGGACATGGTGGCGGCTTCGTAGAGACATCTCATCACTTGGATGTATCGCCAATCTACTTGGCAACGCTGCAGGGACTCCAGAACAGACCAGATCTCGATCGAGTCAAAGGCTTTCTCATAGTCCACGAATGCTAGACACAGGGGCTGATTATATTGTTCTTTTCACAACAAATCAATTTATCAACGGACTGTAGGTATAAATATTTCAAGCGTATTTAAAAAATCGGAGCTATCTACAGAATAATTAACTTACATACCTATTTACTCTCTCTGTATCGAAGCAACTGCTCAAAATGGAGTCCGCTGCATTCAATACACAAACGTCCACGTTTAATGCAATTGTTGTTTAATTCTCTTAATGTGTCTCTATAACTTTTCACTTTATCAAAAGCGTCCACTATCGCAATGCGTAAATTATCACGGCTTTCATATTCCCGTGTATAAACAAGTATTTTTATTTCCGACCATAAGAAAAAATCCAGGGGCGTTAAGTCCGGGCTTCTAGGTGGCCAAGGCACTGGCCCTCCTCGACCTCTCCACAGATCATTAAACTCATTGTCCAGGTATGCACGCACTACACTCCGGCGAATAATAATTTAAACGTCCTTGACCTTGCGCATGAGTATAGTATTTCTATTCGTAGTATTTACCTACTTGCGATTGAAAAGCCCTACTACTGGTTCTCACCTTTTCTCTGTAATCGATATGAATATCGACTTTGATGATAAAAAATATATATATTTTATTAAATTAACGTTATATATAGCTTCTGTTACTGATAAATAACTCAAAATTTTCTTTTCCAAAACGCTTTCAAAATCACCGTGTATAGTTACAATTTACATTCTCTTTATTAAATTATATATACATATTAATTACATTTTTAAATATATTACAAAAGAAATAAAAATACATTTAAAAATATAAAAAATAGTAGACCACCGACATCGGGTACAGGTACCAAGACACCAGTGGTTAGGACTGCAAAGATAGGAACCTCCTCACTATACGAGCCGTGTCAAGGAGGACTGCCTTCTGTATCAGACCCTTGATCCAGCCGTCCAACGTGAGCCTCTTAAGGTGTTGGTCGAGGCTCTTGGCTATCAATCCGTGAGCAGATACAACTATCGGAACAATTATCACTGAATCGACATTCCACATATCGACAATCTCGTGAGATAAATCCAAATATTTTATTTGTTTTTCTTTTTCAACTTTCACGAGATTCTCGTCATGAGGAACGGCGATATCAACAATCATTGCGCGGCGCTCTAATCGATCTATCACTACAATATCAGGCTTATTAGCAACAATAGTCCTGTCTGTGATAATAGATCGATCCCAATACAACGTGGCCCGACCATTCTCGAGAACTGGGTCGGGCACATACCTGTAGTATGGCACCTCTAGATTCACAAGATGGTATTTAAGGGCAAGCTGTTGGTGTACAATCCTGGCTACTTGGTTGTGCCTATGCATAATACAATTTACATTATTATTATTACACTCTATCACTCTCTATACAAATTTCTACTAAACCAGTCTTGGAAACACTTATTCCAGTCTTCCTCCGACAGGTCAAAATGGCTGATTCGTAGGCAGCCACAGCTTCTTCGGCACTTGAAATAAACTTGCCTTTTATCATATCTTTTATTCGCAAGGATTTATAAAAAGAATTCGCAAGGAGCTAAGTCGGGACTATAAGGTGGTTGAGGTAGGGTATACCCGATTCTTAAATAAACACCTTTGTTCTACAGCATTATTCAGCGGCGCCCGGTCTTTGATCATTTCTCCTTTACAGTTTTGAAAACTTTTGGCAATGCGACTGTAGTGTACCATTCTTAGGTAACAGACTTACAATTCTCTAGCATTGATGTTGCAAGAGGTCCACTCCGTGAGAAAAAACGGCCACCATGTTTTTGCCAATGTTCAATGCCAATTTTGTTGCCAACCGGCCATCTTGCTTTCCATATCAAATTCATATATCCATGTTTCGTCGGGGGTAGTGATTAAAGAAACACGTCTTGACCTCCTCTTGACGTCTTTCAAACGTAGACGCATCTCACGGTACCATTCCACACAGTCTTCTTTTTCCGTTTCGGAGAGCAAACGAGGTATCCAAAGACAACAAAGCCTCCTCCTTATAAGATGTTCATTTAATATGGTGTGAACACTAACCGAACTGATACCTAAGATTTTCTCTGTGTCCCTGTATGTAAGTCGTTGGTCATTACAGCATTTCAGTAGTCCATACATTTTCAGCAGTGACTGCTGTTGGCGGGCGTCCACTTTTGTCATCAACTTTAAGGCGAATTTTCCCCTCTTTAAATTCGTTAAACCATATAAAAATGGTTGTCTAAGAAGGAGCAGACAGTTTAAAATCAGCTGTAGGTTACAGCTGATTTTAAACGTTCTTAGCTTAAAACTTCAGATTAACCACATTTAAAGTCGAAATGTATCATTGTAACAGACGAAAAAGTGGGTAATGAGGACAGTATAATATTTATGACTTTTTTATTTTTCAAATTTTTTTTTTTTTTTTTTATTTATTTTAAAAAGACAACTCCCGCACTAGGAATAAATCCTGTGTCGCGGGGGACTTTACAAACATACATGAAACGAATACAAAGTACACCCAGACTCAGAACAACAATTTGTGGATCACACAAAGTGTTGTTCCATGTGGGGTTTGAACCCACAACACTCGGCGTAATAGGAAGCGGCGTGGCGACCGCTTAAACCACTACGCCATCCGTGCAGCCATGTGCAAATTTGCTTTTTAATAATATATATATATATATATATAAATAAATATATATATATATATATATATGAAACTGATGCGTTCTATTTTGCAAAATTTCGAGCATCTTAAAACTTTATGGTGACCTACGTACCAGTAAATTTTTATCTTATAAAGTTCTTAGCCTGACTTATGACTAATTGTTTGTTTTTTAATAGTGAATAAATAGTATACATTTTCAGTATAGTATAGAATAGTATAAATTAAATAGTATATTAAATAGTGATTAATAGTGATTAAAAAACAAATAATTAGTACATAAAACAAACATTATATTTAATCAATAATAAGATAAGTTTATTTTATTATAGATTAAATATTATGAAAAATCAAAATAATATACTTTCAAATTTCATTAAATATATATGTTTTCAGATTACGCCGAACCAGCTGAAAACTCGTTGGCAACTTTAATTATACCAATTCTGTACCTAATATTAGTATAGATAACTACATAATATGGCATTTAAACATGGAGGCGAAAAATGTAAAGAATTTATTTGTTTAAGGGATTTACCACGGTTCAGCTTTCAACACTTTTGTGAGGAAACGTGGCGAATACACAGCGGAACGTTTTAGCTACGGTTAAATAATTCTTTAGAAGTTCATGAAACTTGAACATCAGGAAATGTAGTCGTATACATACGAGTATAAGTAAACAACTAACTCGAGAACTAAGTCCTGCTACAGCGCAAAGCGCTCACAATCCTTTAGGAACACAACAATTATTACACTTGTGTACGCGTAGGCAATTACTGACGCTAGCTGTAATGCTATAATATAACCTTTAAAAATACATTTCTATGTAAATTAATATATACGTATATTAACGTATAAAGTACATATATTTAAAAATAAATTATGAAATTTAAGAAAATTAAAGAAGTGTGTTTAAAAACATAATGGTTGCAAAATATTTTATGATGCGAATAACTCGTTGTTATTTCTTTAAACTTCAAATTCTTCAGTAATTAATTTAGCACACCAACGTTCCGTTGACATTCTTTACTAATTTTGATTTTTTTCTTCTAAAATTTATATTTGTTGTTTTGGATAATATAACACATTAAATATTGTGGTATATATTTTTTTAAAGTTTATTTATTTAGGACTTTTCAAGAAATAAGAAGCAAAGAATTGCCAAAAATATAGCAAAGACTATGTTTTCATCTGTAATGCACATATTCAGTTTATTTTATTCTTTCCGCTAATAGAACGTATACAAATGTTATTTATTGAATTAAGACAAAAATAAAATTATAATATACCACTAGGAGTTAGTCATTATTTTCAGTATTTATATGACGTCAAATATGAATGCGTCGTTTCTTATTTCAAACAATCTTGTAAGTTCAGACCAGTTCAGACGTACAACGGAATGACAAAGGAACAAACACGGACTAAGTTGAATAACTTATCCAATTTTCGTTTAGTAAACTAAAATAAGTTCAGTCCAACGTTTTCAGAATAAGAAACGTATATTTTAATGATTTTGTCTAGTTTATAGAGTTTTGCAACAACAGAATTGGCACGGAACCATAGAACGAATAACTTCTTTACTTTTCAACTCTTATCAGGGATGTGTTCTCCAATAAAGACGTAAACTATTTGTATATAGATTTTAATAATTAACGTTTTAGTAGTTAAGTACTTACACCTATAATAATTTTTAGATTACCGATGTCAGCATAATATATTTTTTAAAAGCTTTATAATACTTTTTTTAATACGAAGTAGAAATAATATTGCATTGACTAAATGCACCTATGTAAAATAACATAACATAACACAGCATAACATAAAATAGAGAGATTAAGATGTCTTCAAATCGGCCTTTTGTCTCGGTAGTTCGGTTTTACACTTTTTATAGAAACATTGGACATGGTCTTAAAGCTTTTGTTACTTTTGTTTGTAACTCTACTCGGAAGTTTATTTGTTCTTGGAATTCAAAGTGAAGCTGAAGGTATGATATTGATATTTATTTAGGTTTGGGCTGGTCTAATACGCTAGTCAGCTTAGTTAAACATTCATTGTATAAAAATGCGTGATACTTTGTAGTACATCGACGATATTAAATACTTATGTCTTTCTTATATTCCTTTTTTACGACATTTTTATACTAGAATACGCGAATTTTTATTTGTAGAAGGTAATCCTCAGGTGTATAATAAGTGAAGAGTTCACTTATTCTGATAAAACACCTGAGGAAATACAAACAATAATGTTGAAATATTTATAATATGATATCTTTTTTGTAGTTATTTTCATTTAACCAATGTAATGATAGACCAATGTTTAAGTCGATTTTTGATTTTTAGTATTTGCTGCCCAAAATAAGTATGCAAATAAATTGACTGGCGCATATTTGAGTCACCAGTGAGAATGTTCTCGAAGTGTATGTTATTCCTGTGTCGTACCCATATTAGTGTTTTGTACGTTTATAAATTATATTTTAAAGATGTAGTTTATATTTTCATAGCTTCTCTTCTTTTTTCATAATACGTGTGCACCTGCCATGTCCCCTACTGAACCATCTTAAGGTTGACTGATTGGTAATGCTATGTGGCATTAAGTCCGCCTAGTGCAAGTTGTAATGCAGGAAGTGTAAATAAATAAAAATAAATAAAGAAAACTAAAATTTGTTTTAATAGCTCAGAAGGTTAAAAATTTATTCTTATTTTGTGATACTATGGTGCATTTGCATATGTAATGCAAATCTTTATAGATATATATATATAGATTTGACATATAACTATATTGTTTTTATTTCTTTTTACTTCGAAATTAAATTAATTACTAACGTAATGGTATCGAAATGTAATAAGAAAAAACAAGTGTTTTCTTGTAAATTTTATTTACAATTACAGCATTATTAAGTTCACTAAGCTAAAATGAAAAAAATATAAAAGTATTCAGCTTTTCCATCATAAGTGCAATGGTCATAAAGAATGTCTAGTAGCCAGACCCACGCTGACCTGATGGTCCACCGCTAGGGTAACCTTCGTTATTGTCTCCACCGCTTTGAGAACTGGGGCGCCCTCTACCTCCACTTTGGTCTCCACGAAAACCTCTTCCAGCTTGATTATCGTTCTGACCACCCGGCCCTCCTCTTGGATATCCTTCACCGTTTCCCCCATTTCTTCCAGGTATATTTGAACCGCGTAGTGAGTTTCCGCTTGAGTAACCATTTCTTCGACCTCCGTTTAAATCTTCGACATCTGAACCAGGGGAAAATTGGGATCCTGGTTGACCCTGTCCTGATTCTGTTTTAGCACCACTTCTGCCACCTGGTCTATCGCTTGAATAACCATTAAATCCGTTCGTTTCAGTGTCCCCTTGTCCAAAGCCACTGGCGTCTTGGTACTGCCCGGAATTAGGATCTTGGTTTTGTCCCGATCCTGGGAAGCCGTTATTGGCACCAGGACCACCTCGAGAATAACCTTGACTCCCTCCTTGACCTTGACCTCCACCGGAACCTGGAATTTCAAGCATGGTTTCATGGAAACGACTCATTAAATGAGACTATTAGAAAAACTGAAATAAGAATATAAGTAAGTAGAAAATGTATTTACCAAAACTAGAGCCAACACCGCCATTAACACCGCCATTAGCACCGCCTGATAATTAAATAATATAAAAAATTTAGTTAACAAGATATCTATACAAAAAACTAAGCCATAATGTCTGTCTAATTTGTCATTAATATGCTAAATAGCATTATGTTTGTGTAATAGCATATTATCTAAAAAGTACGCTCTTTATGTTCAAAGTGTATCAAATGTACACTTTTTTGGGCATTTATTATATGCCAATGTCATTGACCCAGGGTTTTTTCATTGAGGATTTTAGATTTTCGTGTAATTATATGACTAGGCCCGCTATGTCTGATTCCCTAGTACTCTATTCTGTGAAGTAGTTAGAATGGAATAAAGTATAGATAAAGTCAAAAATTGTGTTCTTAATTACGGCTTATTACAGTGATGTCCTGATAAGACTTTAAAGGTACAGATTAAAAAATAGTAAGAATCTCCCAGAACTTACAAAATACCATTGATTACTGCCTTAAGTAAGAAAATTCCTAACTTTTTACCAGGTTCTCAACGCACCCATAATACGAGGTAATAATAATAATAATAATAATATTCTACCACATACACACAACGCCATCTAGTCCCAAACTAAGCAGAGCTTGTACTATGGGTACTAGACAACTGATATAAATACATATATACTTTTTTTTTTTGTAAATACATACACATTATACATAGTAATGCGTATTTCGAACATCAAGCCAATAGTGACCGTTTACTACCAAGAGTAAAAATACTAAAAATCGAAATAATTTGAGTAGTTTTGATTTTTGTATGAAGCGTGACGCAGGTGTTGCCAACCACAATAATGAACGAACCCTCGTAGTGTATCTGGGGCTTATATCCCTGCGTGCCGGCCTCGTACTCGACTACCTGCTTCCTGCCATCAGGCAGCACTACATTATACTGCCCAGTGGCCAGATCACCGTCCCGTTGCTCAGAATGACCAAATTTAGTACCTGTCTGCGAGTCGTCCACGTCATAACTGAACTCGTATTTAGCGGGTTCCTGAAAAATGATAAAGTTTAGTGTTATATTGTTTAAACATAATGTGATCTCACACTATATAGCAACGGCAGTAGATAGATGAACAGTACAATATATTCCATTATAGCACTAGGCAACGTTAATTTAAAAAGGACAGTGAGTTAAAAGACGAGATCACTGCACAGTGCATAATTATACGAATACAAATTTTCTAGCGGTTGTAATATTTGCTAACGTAAAACCCTTCATTTTAGAACAAGATTGTTTTATTGCTTGATTTTATAGCTAATTGATGTTAAAACTTGTTGGTTAAGGTTGTTTTTAATATCAATTGGATCACTACTGAAAATTTAAAACATAAATTTGAAGAGCTAAGCGGTAAAAGGACGTAAACACAGAGATAAAAATAAAACAAACAAGGATTTAACAGTAGCTTCTACACCGCCTCAAAAGTTATGGTCCTGCATTTTGTAATGTCGTATTATTTTTGAAAGTTCTTATTTCATTATACTATTATTTCATTAAACTAAATTTCAGATATCGAATAAACTTAAAAATATTGCGTTTCAGCACTATTTACTTCCTTTCTAGAAAACCATTAACAATGCTTATGCGAAACGGTTTGTTTATACTCGTATTACACATTATATATTATAAAAAACTTAAAAAATACTTACATTCGATTCATCTCCATCGAAGTTCTGACCACGACCAGAATCCCTACCACCAAAAGCACCTCCTGAGACACCTCCGAAACCACCCGTTTGTCCACTGCCCGGTCCTTCAAAACCTGGAACTCCATAGGTTGTTGAAGGTGATCCACCAGTCTGTCTTCCACCAGAAGTACTGCTAAAACCATTTTGGGAACCAGAGCCCTCTGCACCCTGAGACGTTAAACGTTGACTTCCCGATTTTGCTTCAAATCCACCCGTTGGAGGAGGACCATATGAACTTTGCGGCCTTTGTCCAAATCCTGAACCATTTTGTCTGAAGGAATCATCACCACTTTCACTGCCAAATCCTTGACTCGGAGGACCGTAAGAAGATTGTGGTCTTCTGTTTCCACCGGCAGATTGGCCGCCTGGACCTCTTGATCCAGCTCCATTATCCTGACCTGGTGCACCATATTGAGAGCTAGGTGCACTTCCTCTGCCTTGATTAAAACCACCTGATCCTGAAGGAGACCCGAAGCTTTGAGGACCCTGTCCACTACCTCTTGCAGAGGGAGGTCCATATTGAGTGTCAATGGAAGATCCTGTTTGTCCGTTTGAATATGAATCTTGGGATCCATTCTGGCCTAGTCCCGCACCGGGTTGATTACCTCTCCGATTACCGCCTACTCCACCACTTCCAGGTGGCCCATACTGTGACGATGGACTGGCACTGGATGAGCCAATTCCAGAAGGAGGTAGGTAACTATTAACTGGAGGCTCGCATTTGCTTGCAGGCCAAGCAAGTGTACCCAAAAGAATTATATACTGAAAATTTTAGTAATAAAAAATTTATTATAATGATACACATATTGGATTTAAACATTAAATAAATATTGTCAAAAATACTTACTAAAATCATGATGCTTAAATATCATAAAATACTATGTAAGTAAATCCAATGAGATGTGTTTCTTCACCACGTTTCAGATTTTGAATACATTCAATTTGAATAGACGGTGTTTATATAGGAAAATAATTCGTGGTGAGCGTGATACCAATAGCGGTGCAAGAACAGCTCACGCGTGTAGTCGTGGCTTTGGGTCTAGTTTCGTGCATCTGCAGCTACGACGCGTCACCGAACGCTGTGCGATTCCCGTTTCGGCGCCTGCGCGTGCAACGATACTAAATAATGACTTTGTTACGTGTAAAATGCACACAATTATTGTCGAAAATAATGCAGATTTATATCAGTAAATATTTGTAGCTAATATAATAATTATTTTTATTGTTTTCGAAAAATTAACTTCATAATAGGAGTTTTTTCTTTAAAGTTAAGGTGTTTTCACAGGTGTCAGATAAAATAGATAAATAAGTATTCTAAGTAACTTATTGATATTTAGTTACAAATATTTAAGTGCAATCTAACTTATCATTTAAAAAGATTAAGCTTAGACTAAAAGGTTGGTACAAAGTGAAAGCGCAAACAAAATCATTGTATGAAATAAATGGGACAGCTAGTAAGTCAATCAAAATAAAAGAAAAACATGGCAGTGTCAAAACATTCATTAGATCTGTTTTTACATTTTTAAATTATTGGCCGTTAATAAGTAGTTCATCACACATCATCAACAGCCTATAACAGTCCACTGCTGGACATAGGCCTCTCCTTAGAAAGGAGGTTTTGGCCTAATAAGTAGTTGCATTGTAATAAACCATTTCAAAAAATTACAATGACTCGGCTGAATCTATTTTCAAATGAGAAGTCCTTTTCAGTCCAGCCCAAGACAAGGCGCTAGTAGGGTATCTCAAAATTTTAATGTTACATCTTTCAATACCGAGAGGAAAAAGGTTACTTGTAAAATATTTGTAAAAATAAGGCATTTGAACTAATATTAGAAATGTGAAATTAACTTAAGCTGTTTTTTTTACAGTGTTGTGTTTTAAGAGTGCCATCAACATTTTAAATTGGCTAAGTAGCCTAGAATTTGGGTAATTTTGTTGAATGCTGTCAACTTGGATATTGGATCCTTTTCCTCGACCACTCCAAGCAGTTCTCTGTCCAAACAGTTCGGTGGTGAAAAGCTCTTTTTTACGTTTGTTGTACGTATGTCTGTTCCTTCCTGAAATCGATATTATGTATCGTAAAAATGCATATTTCAACACTCTCAAGGGAATCAAAATAGTGTATGGAATAATTATAGTGTACTTCCCGTTGACCTAGACCTATGAAATTTGGCAAATCGTCGCAACATCGTCTTATACTACAAGTACAGGAAAAAAACTGTACATTTGTAATCAAATCATCTTCTATCTATACAAGTAAATAAAATTGGAGTGTCTGTTTGTAATATTAAAATAACCGCTTTTTACTAAATGCATATGTATGTTTACACGGTACATATGAAAAAATACCATTTTTTACAATTTTTGTCTGTCTGTCTGTTTGTTCCGGGTAATCTCCGGAACGGCTTAACCAATTTCGACGGGACTTTCACTGGCAGATATCTGATGACATAAGGAGTAACTTAGGCTACTTTTTTTAGACTAGCTTCGCCCCGCGGCGTTGCCAGCGGTTATAACAACAAACGCGGGTAACACCGCGGGTCTCAGCTAGTCGAAAATATAGTCTTTATTTAAAGTACGTAATCAATCATCACAATTTCACTTCTTTTTTTTGATGCTAGTTATCCCTTTCACCGCTGTAACTCCTCTACAGCAGAATCAACAGCAGTGACCCACGAACACACCAAGTTATGACACTCGGGAAGTCCCAGAAAAAAAAACTGTCTTGGATGTCGCAATGAAATTAATCAGAAGAAAATTGGAGAAGTTGGATGTATAATAAATCCTACAAAATATTATGGGTCCTAAGTGAGCTATATTTGATTTCTATAATATGTATGGGAGAATCGCCTATACGAACGGATATTCGCCCTAGTTGACACAACATCCCCATACTATATCGCCCTAGATATCACCTGTAAGCTATTCAGCATCATATTACGTTCATTATACCAAAGACTATATTCCCAGAGGATATGATGAGCAGACTGTTCTCAGTTAGAGTCAGGGGTTGAGCATTGACACAATGGTGATTCAACTAATTTAAATGAATACAGCTTGTTCTTAAAGTTACCATGACCTGTAGGAAATTGAGCGACACAGTGATCCACCTCAAGCCATATCCTCGACAATCGGTCGCGAACAGATAGAAAGAACTGGTGAAGGTGGCGACACTTAGATTATTTGTCCCAGCGTTGTTGCCATTCGTCTATGAGGTCAATATAGACATAGGACTGCTGTTAAAGCCATCTTGTGATTTTATCGTGATCTCGTACTCAAAAAAAATCGCATTCCATGATTTGTAGTGCTGAACAGTACACGGCTGCACGTCTTTGCACCTTGAGATAGACCGAAAGCACACCCGCCAACACCGGAAAAGCCTCAGTGGTAACCGTCCTATATGCCTTGCACAAGAATACCAGTGCAACGCCTTGTAATAGTTTGCAACGGACAGCGCCTACGGTTGCCCTATCGGCCCATACAGGTGCACAATAGCATATAAAACCTAAATAAGTAGCTTCTTATATGATCTTTAGTGTATTAAATAATAGACCCCATGTCGCAGTTCATATCCTTGTCAATGCACAGAAATTCTTATTTGTCTTTTCATTAACTATTTTAATATGTTCGATAAATGAAAAGTTTCGTTTTAAAACTAATCATAAATAACACACTGAGGTTTTATTTTATTACTGTGACATTGTCAAATTTAATGCTTGGTGGTTTTGATGGGAGCAAAAATTAAACGATTACGTTCACCCCAATGAGATATTAAGTTCAAACATCTATTGGCTAATCTCTCAAGCCCCGCACTATATTCTCTTTTCTTTATTTATACTCTCTCCTTCTAGGATTTAGATTATGTGTATTTAAGTTCATTATACTAATACACATAATACTTATGTATTATGTGTATTAGTATAATGATTACTTATATTATTTGTATTTATCATTAACAATTATTATAATGTTATTTATACACTCGTAAGTACTCTGGTTCTATGATATTCTAAATATATTATGCTATAGTTTTAATAAATTAATTTCTGTGCACCTACCACGTTTGGCTCTGCATCGCCCTAAGGTCGACTGGTAGAAAATTCATATGGCATTAAGTCCGCCTTTTGCATAAAGATTTAATAAATAAATAAATAAATTATAAGCAGATATAGAATATTCGTTGTCTGTAAATCTTGTTCAAATGGTAGAGAAACTGAGGGCGCACTAAGCAAAAAATGTACTTCCTGTTTTGAGTCTCAATTTTAACTTTTAAGAAAAAAATATCTCAATAAAAATTCAAACATATTGACTATTGTTATCTGAGCTAACAGGATCTCCGCATAAACCAATTAGTCTACGTAAAGCCTGACCCATTTCCCATACAATATCACGCATCAGACAGAACACGGGTTCTAATATTAAACCACTACACAGAACACTGTATCAGTGATGTCAGTCCGTGCAATGATTTGTGTCATCCTCGCTAGTTAGTCGTGTGTCGAGTCGTGACCGCGTGGCGCAACTCATCCCTTCGCGACCACTTGATCACTCACAACGAAACCTATACGCGAGCTAATGAGACTTATAGCTTCACGATTTTAGTATCGTTATAGAATTATATTTCTAGATCGGTTGTGTAAGGGCACAGCACTTAAAGTTATAGTGGTATGTGTACTATCATATAAAAAAAATGATGCGACACCTTTATTAAAAAAAAGGGTTAATAAATTGATTATCACAATTGCCATTGCACTTATTGTTAGCAGAAAACTTTTATTCAAATAGTCTATATAGCCTCCTATAACACAATAGTAAAACACAACAGTGCTGAAAAGTTAAATAGTAACTTTTAAAATGACCCTTATTGGCTATTTCAATTTGAATCCATAAAGCTTGTTAATTGTAGTTTGTTTTATTATTGTTCAATTTATTGTTAAATTTGCATAGATGTTTTTCTACTTTTAGTTTCATACAGTGTTACTCTACGAGTATTATACATGATGCGACGCCTTAAAATGTTGTGCATTAATCTTAGTAAAATGGATGCATGCTTTAGATTATAATAATTAAGTAACAATTACTGGTATACCAATAAATAAATAAAGTATCCTTATCCTAAAATCCAAGCCATAACTTTAACCATATAAACAACATCCTTACAACATTCGCCGCACACTGTCTTACAATTACTTCCAAAATGAACATGAATAACTAGTATATTTTGAGCTTAACGACCCACCGTGATCGTGGATACCAATAATCTTTGAAATGTCCAGAGGAAATGGGCAGCCTAATATCATGAATTCTTGGATTTCGCATTACAGTTTATAGATTCCCCAATGAGTACCCAAAGTGCATTTCGAACTTAGCGAGAATAGATGAAGCTCATTGCTCATCATTATCGTAATGTTACTAATGTATCAATACGTGGTTACTGCTTCGCTACAATTGTGGTGCACTCTGTGTCAATATGGAAAGTGGGTCAGAGAGACAGATGACGCATGCTAGCATATCGCTCCAACCGTCGACCCTTTGTCAATTGGGTGTACAATACCTACATTCTTCTATGGGCCCTTAAATGTATTAAATTCATCTTGTAAATATGTGATTTCTACTTTTAAAACTTTTTATTCTGTATTCAAGTTTCAATTTTTATTCCGGTTAGACGATATATATTCGCTAAATCGCAACCTTGCACTAGATACCGCAAGTAAGCACGAATTTTGTATTTGACACTTTGCCTATTCCAATATCCTGCTTTCCTCATTGATACTATTATTCTGTAAATACAGAAAAGGTGAGAACACAAATTTAAAGCTGTGTACAGCACTATTGTATTTATAATGACAGAAAATAGTTGTGACCTATTCCATACTATCCCGTCCATCCCTCATCAGGTTCTTCGAGTTCATACACACATATGTCAACCCACTTCAATAAATGAAATCAAAAATGTTGACTTTCTAAGCCGTATTTCTTGACTCATTATTAATTATCGTTAATTACATTATATTTCATGGTACACACTTACTTTAGAACTGAACCGTCTTACATTCTCCTCTAATATGAGCCGTTTAGTTAAATATCTTGTCTCTTGAAAAATCAACAATAAACCTTAAATTTCTAAAACCACGTTGAAAATGTTGTTTCTGTAATGGTGCCAAATATATAATAGGTCTTTACCTATGAAATTGCCGTTTTGTATACAATAAGTGAAAGTACTTATTTTTTCAAACTTTTTTATTTCTGTTATTCGAAGTAATCACCCATGCAATCGACGCATCTTTGCTAACGCATTGGCAGTTTATTGATGCCCTTCTTGTAAAAATCAGCTGGACGGGAGGCAACAAACTCTTCAAAGTCATTTTGTACTGCCTCTCGGGAATTGAATTTTTTACCCACTAAAAAGTTGTCTAAATTTTGGAAAAAGTAATAGTCGGTAGGTGCAAGGTCTGGTGGTCACATCTGCAACCAGCTTTGGTCAATCGGTCGTCCCCACTGCTCCTTCACGACAACTCGCGACTCCATACTGCGCAAACAGACAGTCTCCAAGCTGCAAGAGCTGGGGTTGGAAGCTCTCCCTCATCCGCCATACTCACCAGTCCGTGTGGTGACGGAAGTCCGTGTGGTGACGGATTAAGAATACAAATTGTCACTACCCCAATTCATCCCGTGGGTGTCGTAAGAGCCGACTAAGGGAGCAAACTAAGCAGGACAACAGCACTGCAAAGAGAAGGAAAACTTGAAACAAACCCTATACCAACCCGTCTGGCCAGCGTGGTATAGTAGGCCAAAACCTCCTTTCTAAGGAGAGGCCTATGTCCAGCAGTGGACTAGTATAGGCTGTTGATGTGATGATGTGAATAAACTAACTACATATAATAATTGCCTGCTGCCGTGCTGCAGCGGTAGCGTATGCGACCTACTGTACTGAGCTTTCGGGTTCGGTTTCCGGATCGGACCAAATTTTTGCATGATCTGAAAATATTTGTTTGGGTGTTTTCTATGTATGTATTTACAAAAAAAAATATTTGAAAGTAATATATATATTGTGTAATCAGATAACCTACGAGTTTTTCAGACTTTACATTTTTATATATGAAAAATTAAACCATCAAGCATTTTTTTTAAAGACAGCTCCCGCATTAGGAATATATCCTGTGTCGCAGGGGACTTTACAAACTTACATGAATCGGACACAAAGAACACTCAGACTCAGAACAACAATTTCTGGATCACACAAAGTGTCGTCCCATGTGGGGATCAGACACACAACACTCAGCGTAGTAGTAAGCGGCATGACGATCGCTTAAACCACTATGCCATCCGTGCAGTCTTCAACAACAACAAACAAAGAACAACAAAACATCATTTACATCTATCAATAATAGGTATAATCTTGGACATTAAAAACAAGACACTATTAAAAGTCACATAATTAATATAAATTCTTTAAAAAAATGTATATGTTACTGTTAAAGCCCGAACTACGGTAAATCTCAAGATTTAAATACACGGTAAATATCGATAAAAAGACCAACAATAGAGGGGATCTGGCGCTCGGTAGGCGCTGCCGCGGCCCACTTGCTTCGCTGGCTCGCCTTCGCGCTTTAATGGTCATTGTTCTAACCTATTCCAAATTTAACTTTAAAGTACTTATCGTTTTCTACCCAAAACCAACATTTACCAAGCGCCTCTGGTAAAACCTAGCATGTACCAGTTTCTAATGATATAAGTTCGAAAAAATTTACCCGTTTTTACTTATATATACTAACATTTACCAACTCCTGTCGCTAAATCTTAGCTTTTATCTTAGTAAATCTTGGGACAGAATGAAGAAAGGAAATAGAAAAAAAACATCACACATCATAACAACCGCCTTTAATATTATACTATCCCATGCAGATTTCAGCCACGGTGACTGTTTATTTTTGGGAGTCAGAGTTTCGAGCGTGTGCTCTGATGTGGCTGACGTACCTTTAATATAGTCCATTGCTGAACATAGGCCTCTGGGAGGTTTAGGCAGTTAAGCCACGCTGGCGAGACTGGTTGGAATAGGGTTTGTGCCAAATTTTCCTTCTCTTTGCAGGAAATAATACCTAATATTTTTTACTTTTTTTTCTTTCTTTTTCTTGTTGTATTCCATGTTATGTTTATTACATTAGCATAATAATTTTCTTACATATGCGTCTATAATATTTAAATACCTACAAACTTCACTGTACCTACAAACTGTCATATTATTAAATATTGAAGGCATTTACGAGTATCAATCAAATAACAGTTAAACGGTTCATATTTTTATTAACCAATAAAATCACAGCTAAAAAGGTGTAATCATATCTAAACACAGAAAAAAAAAGTTACACACGTACATAGTAAAAAATATTCACACTCCCAAAATATACAGATACATATAAATTATTTATTAAATTTAATATTCCTTATTAATGCCATTTGTGATTTTGACTTGATTAGTTATTATAAATAATATAAATAAATAGACATAATTGATTCTCCTTTTAACTCACGTCACGTCTTAAATTTTAAAGGAAATATTCTCCCCTCCCTATCTGAAAGTGCGGATACACTTGGCAATCACGAATTTGCTTTTCACAGGTACAATTGGATTCAATTTGGATGTTAGGCCTAACACACGACGGGAATGTCTGAAATGCTTTGAATTATGATCATGCATCACTTCACGTTCAAAACGTAGACCACATTTTCATGACTGCATTCTCTTAAATTATTGTTGTATTCGTGTAGAAATCCACATTAACTACTAAATAACTTCCTAGCCGAACACTGTCTCGGTCTCTCTAGATTAATTGGCAAGGTTTAATACAGTGGTTGTAACAGATTCTTTAACTCGATATCTAAGTATATTTAAGTAGGTATAAATTTCAACCTTGTACGTTTTTAAACCCATGTAATTTATTTTGTAAATCTTTAACTTGTGATCTAATAAATTTTATTAGGTAATGAAAATTAATTTTCAAAGAACTGAATATTTTCAAGCACATAGTTCTTGTGACTTGCCAACTTAATGTTATAATTTTGTTTAAGATATCTAACACTTTACAAACTAATTATTACTGATGAAATTCAACTAAATAATAACATAATAGAGATAAAAAAAAATTGCCTAGAAGTGGAAAAACATCCGGAGCAAATATAAATGCCCGGAGATGTGTTTATTCAGCGCCTGCTTAGATAGCTATTTACGTATTATAACTTTGATATATTATAAACTTACTACTTTTAATAAGTATTTTAGTGTTTGCTGACAAACCCTATTGCCTACATATAGAGTATTATAAACTACAACGTCATCTTAGCATCTAACCTTATTATTTTTCTTCTATACGTTAAAAAATGTATAAGAATGCAGTATTCACTAATATTGTCGGTGATAGCAAACCTGTGGATATTGCACTAAAATAAAAAAAGAACGGCCGAAAGTTAATAAGATAGGGTTTAAAGAGACGGTTTACTTGGTGTTTTAATATTTCCCAAATACCTTGCAATTGAAAATAAATCATGGGAATAATGATTCACTCTTCCACTCTAGTCATTTTATCGGTAATTTAATTTATGAAAAACAAATATGTTTTCCTTAAATCCATAATAAAATACTTATTTTTGGGTCCCAAAATGGTGGGTTATCACTCTCCCACCATAAGTTTAAATGTTCAATACAGTATTGCTTTCTTCAAATTAGGTTTAAAAAAGGTTTGATCATCCGCAACACGCCTATCGTGCAGAGAAGCGAGCTGTGTGCTAGTCAAATTGTAAGTAAATTATATAAAGACAACTATAAATGAATAGACGTGATTCTACTTAATAAATCGGCTTATACCAAAAGACTTCGTTTTATTTATCACGAAGAAGCAACGCGACAGATTGCTAATGGCATCACGCAGGCGGTTAACCTAATACTTACTATTTACGAAAATCTGATACTGCATCACTTATTATAATTATTGCACCCTATTGCTTAGTAAAATACTCTTTAGATATAACATGGCACATAATACCACTGCAATCAAAGTCAAAACCTTACACGTTACATTACAATATTTTTCGTAACTTCTTCACAAATTACATACGACTATAGTTGAACAAATCACACTCTTTTCAATTATTTAAGATCCAAACTACTAACATTGTCTACAATACTGTTTGCATGTTGACGATTTCCTTCTTCTCTTTCTTACTACCTCGGAAGTGCTCCTCAATCTCGGCAAGAGACTTTCCCTTGGTCTCGGGGACCACAAACAGCACGAAGAAGAATGCCACAGCGCTAAAGCAGCCATACATCCAGAAAGTACCAGCCGGTGTTAGTGCCGCCTAACATAGAACAAATGAGATCAGTTACTAAATTAAATCAATACAGGACATAAGACTATCGTAATAATGTTCATTTAACAGTTAGCTTATACGTATAAGATTACACTTAACTAGATAAACAGTATTTCTAGGACACCTGTCCCTGTGTCACCTGGGGATAGAATGGCAGCCTGATTGCATTAAGAGTTTAGAGTGTAAGAGTTTAGGGGGAAGTGTTTTCCCTTGGGATGATTAGGCATGGTGTCAATTTGGGGAGGACCCGAAATAACATGGTCCGGGTCCTCCCAGAGTAGGACACTTAAGGCTGGCCGAATACAGACAAATGATGACAGGAAGATATTGTTTATAATTGATATTGCAATAACTGCTAATTACGTTACAACCACTCGCCACTTAGTATATTTTGTAATGACAAACAATAATTATCCTATTTGCCCCATAAATGGAGAAATATTAGCACGCAATTACTTCAATGACTTTGTATCACAGACGATAATGAATACTAGATACAAGTATAAATAAAAAACTGTGAACTGTGAGAAGCGTCACTAAAACATTTTTATATGGGTAGAAAGTTAGTAGGTCCTTTATAGATCTAGGTTATTTAAAGTTTAACAACTTACAAACCTTAACTCATTTCTGTAGATACAAATTTCAAAACTCATACTTACGTCGAGAGCATGATAAGACTTGATAACTGAGAACATAGCAAGAAGGTTGACACCGCTCGCCATGGCCGACAACTGCGAGCGATAGTGTGCCGGGAACAGCTCACCCAGCAGCAGGAATGGTAAACCACCGAAACCAAGAGAAAATCCCCACATATACACCACCAGACTGATAATGGGTAGGTACCTGAAATATACGCAAGTAATTAAATAATCAGCAACATAAATAAACTAGACCTAGACTAATATAGCATTAACTAAATCTGCGAGTGGTGGAAATGCGACACCACATCACAAGATAATTGTCTGAAATTTAGTTTTTTTTATTAATTAGTGTGTTTGAAATATTCACACGATACGGTTAGTACTCAATTGTTTAAAAATAAGTGACATTCGAATATAACTACGCACGTATGTTGGTTTTTCGTGTCTTTTGCTATTATTATAATGCATACTTATAGACTACTCCTGGAAAATATTTTTTATTTTTATTTTATAAAATTACTGAATACTCTGCAAAAAAGGATATCTAAAAAGGGTTTTCGTTTTAGAATTTACCTGAGGTCTCGGCTACAGATTGGATGACGGGACACCGTGTGGTTTTAGTAGTTTCGAATCCGACATGCCACTTTGCTGTGACAACCTATGTTTTACACACAAAAAATCTGGATGGTTTGTAAATATGCTATGATTATCCATTATTATATTATACAGATATTTTACAGTACATAATGATTCCTGATGTCGTATATTATAATGTATCATCATTAGTTAATTGAGCCAATTTTCTTGCAAAATTAAGTGCATAAAACAACATTCGTCACGCTTATTAATCTTTAAGACGTACACTTTAGTGTCCCACGCTGTGTTATAAAGAAAACAATTGACAGTTTTAATTATTTTTTCTTATTTTAACGGCAACAAGAAAAACAAGTACTTAAAATCTTAGACAACATAAGAACTCGTTGTGTCATTTTTGCAAGCTTCATTGAGAGAGGGTTTGGGCTTCGGTAACAAAGAATTGCTTAACATCGGCTTTCTGTGAGGCCGTAATATCTCTACGGTGAAGCTTGGCCAATATGTACCAAAACATAATAATAATCAAACAAACTTGTGTCTGAAATTGAAACTTCCTTAGCGGAGGTTTCAAATTGGAGTCGACTAAATTTAGTCCAGTTTAACCCACAGGTTTAACACAGGTATGTGCGTTCACCTCAAAAAAGATACTATTTGTCGTATCACCTCAGTTTGAGGGCACCTCCCTAACTGCCTCAGCCGACATCGGAATCCTAGGCATCGACATATCGAGCTAAGTCCAGTTTCGGGGTCACTTAGAGGGTAAGATCAAATTGACCTCGAAGAAGCTCGGTGTCCTGAACAGATCGAGGCAGTATTTCACTCCGACCCACCGCCTTCAGCTTTATAAGGCGCAAGTCCGGCCGCATATGGAATACTGTTCTCATCTCTATGCAGGGGCACCTCAGTACCAGCTTCTCCCTCTGGACCGCATCCAACGAAGAGCGACTCGAATTGTCGATAGCCCAATTATCTCCGATCGGCTCGATCCCTTGGCGTTACGTAGAGATGTGGCTTCACTCTGCATTCTCTATCGCATATATCATGGAGAGTGCTCCGAGGAATTGTTCGGACTAATACCAGCCGCAAATTGCCGCCATCGTTTGCAAATATCGCCTGGATAGTTGGCGCACCACTACTGTGCACTTTTCGAGACACTTTTTGCCCCGCACAACCAATCTGTGAAACGGGTTATCGTCTGCGGTATTTCCCGACCGATACGACCTTCAAACCTTCAAGAAAAAAGCGTACTCCTTTCTAAAAGGCCGGCAACGCGTTTGTTACTCCTGAGTTGCAGACGATCATGGGTGGCGATAGTCACTTTCCATCAGGGGACCCACGATCATTTGTTCTGTGTCTGGGTGTAATTTATCTATAATATGTGTGTATTTAGAAATATATGTTTATCAGCAGTCTGGTTAGCATAGTATAGGCTTTGCCTAGTTTGGGATCAGTCAGCCGTGTGTGAGATGTATGAGGGTATTAGTACTATTAGTATCTGCTCACGCATTGATAGCCAAGAGCCTCGACCAACACCTTAAGAGACTCACTTTAGACGGCTGGATCAAGGGTCTGATGTAGAAGGCAGTTCTGCTTGACACGGCCCGTATAGTAAGGAAGTTCCTGTGTTTGGAGTCTTAACCACCGGTGTCTTGGTCCATGTTCCCGATGTCGATGGTCTACTATTTTTTATTATTTTTAATGTATTTTTTTGCTTATGTAGTATATTTAAAAATGTAATAATAATAATTTATTTTCAAATATATCAAATAACATGTTACATTTACTGTGATAGCCACACTAGGCAGAACCTGTTATCAAACAATGCGATTGTCTTATGCCTAGGACTTAACTAGCATTTACATTTATTCTATACATTTATTATATATTACATTTATTATGTACTTACACATATTTATTTTATAAATAGTTACTGTTCTTAGTTGTATGCGCATGAGTGTGCGTGTGTGTGTATGAGTGTGTAATTTAGTAACCTGTTAGATTATAGTTTTTAAGAGTTCTTCTGTATCCTTATAATTTAAGCCGGTGATAAAATCTTTAATTTTTTAATTTTAGATTTATGCTTTTTGCAGTGCCGCAGATCGCAATTCTTTGTTTTTTAAGTAAGGAAACATATATTTAGGAAAACCTCTTTGCGAAACTCGTTTTACATTTTGTGGTAGTGAACTTAAATACTCTAGCATTTACCGTAGAGTTGTAGTCAGAAGAATGTATTGCTAACTTGTGCGAGTGGATGACCCCATTGAATACATACATACATACATAGTCGTCTTACACTCAAGAGACCAGCAGCTCAATAGACCTCCACTGTTGGGAACGTAATAGGTTTTTTAAGCATTACTTTGAGTATTGATCTCTGGGCTCTCTCCAACTATATTAGGTACGATGTAGCTGTGCCTGCCCAAACTCTTAAACACTATGTTAGGATGGATTGGCAGAGGGCCATGTACACGGTTTTAAGTGGTTCAATACTGGCGATATCTCTGTTCATTCATTACATAAATAAGTTTCTGCATCTCGCCGAGAGGGCCTCTATGTGTTCATGGATACTTGTTTCTTGTCATGGCTCTTCCTTCTACTTTAATAAATCACGCTGCACGTTGTCGCGGCTTAGTATATATGTATTTGTATCAGTTGTGCAGTACCCACGATACAGGTTCTGCTTAGTTTGGGACTAGATGGCTTTGTGTGAATGTGGTAAAATATTATTATTATTAGTAATTTATGAATAGGGAAACATATAATGTAAAGAAATAATGTATTACTTTCCTGTAACTACCTGTTAGTGTTGCAGTGTTTTAAAGTTATTTAATAAATAAACTTCATAATGACGTAGAGTGATAATAGTCCTTACAAGTTACAGTACCAGTAGCAGCATAACCATTTATCGTCTCAAGAACAATAAATTACCAAAACGGTGTTGAAATAACTTACCCCAGCCACGCTGAATCCCTAAGCTGGAAGTAGAATGTCGATCCCATGGAAAACATAGAAATACTCATTATAGCTGCGGAGATGAGCAGCAAAGGTCTGCGTCCAGCGCGGTCCACCAACATAGTACTGACTCCGCTACTTATAAACTGGACTACGCCTACTACGATTGTGGCTGTCATAGCATCCAAAGTACTTCCTGGAAACACAAAAATATACCGTTTATACTATACATTTTTAAGTGAGTATCACTTGAGGGTTATGAAAACTTTACATCCAACTCTAACAACTTAGGCTACTGTTATGTATCAATAGAACCCCTTAAGTATTTTCTTGTTGTTTTGGTTTTGGTATTTGGGTTACCTAAACTTGATTTAACAATTTTTTATTTCTGCCAATTTAAGTTATTACTGGTAACCGCTTGTCATCGGACTAAGCCTTTTGCATACATGTTGATTATACGTATGTGCTGCGTATGTACCTGCGCTTCTGAATATTTCAACAGTGAAGAAGATGATAGCATCGATACCACTGAACTGTTGGAACAACAACAGTGCGAACCCAATGACCAAAGGCCTTATAACCATCGGCGAGAAGAACACCTTTCTTGTGAACAGGCTCGGGGGAGTAGCTGGGTCTTCGCACTTCCTGAAATTGTAAATATACTTTAACAGATGTACATTATATTCCTAAGGTGTTGGTAAGGTGTGTAGAGAGTAACCTCTCTAAATGCTTCAGTGTTTCTCCTCACTATATAAGTTAAGCTACAGCAACTTGTGTGTCACACACCGAAAGAAAAAAGTGCGAGTCGGACTCGCCCATGAAGGGTTCCGTAGCAGCAAGTAACATAATATAAAAGTTCTTGTAGTTCGTTGTAACTTTGATCGATGTTTATGAAAGGTAAATTGCGGTTTACGATTTATGACGTATTAAAAAAAACTACTTACTAGATCTCGTTCAAACCAATTTTTGATGGAAGTTTGCATGGTAATGTACATCATATATTTTTTTTAGTTTTATCATTCTCTTATTTTAGAAGTTACAGTTACACACATTTTACCACTTTGGAAGTGTCTCTCGCGCAAACTATTCAGTTTAGAAAAAAATGATATTAGGAACCTCAATATCATTTTTGAAGACCTATCCATAGATCCTCACACGTATGGGTTTGATAAAAAAAATTTTTGAGTTTCAGTTCTAAGTATGGGGAACCCCCAAAATTTATTGTTTTTTTTTCTATTTTTGTGTAAAAATCTTAATGCGGTTCACAGAATACATCTACTTACAAAGTTTCAACAGTATAGTTCTTATGGTTTCGGGAAAAAGTGGCTGTGGAAAAAGTGTGTGGAAAAACAGACATGGCGAATCCATAAGGGTTCCGTTTTTTGCCATTTATCTACGGAACCCTAAAACACACACATACATACATTTATGATTATTTATGATTACCTATTTAAATCCTAATATAAATAACTGCATACAAGTAGTTGGAAATGTAAGGAGGGACTGATTTTGATGGACATTTTAAGAACGCCGCCATTAAGAACTGATTTTTAAAATTATTTTTATTGGGTTTTCTTTTTGGTTCCAGTAAAATTAAAAGAAAAATGAATACGAAAAATTAAGGCTTGAAGAATACAGTATCACTATTTATCATAATGCAGAGCGCTCTTAGCGTTCAAGGCATCTTGAATCTTTAGTAGGAAATGTGTATTAGCGAAACCTTGCCTTTGTCCAGTTAATTCTTAACATAGACACTGGTTCGCGGAAGAAAAGTCAAACGATTACGAAGTATAAGGATAAAAAACCGGTCAGGTACAAGTCGAACTCGTGGGCCGTGGGTTCCGTACCTACCCAGATTTTACGTAGATTTTCGCAAAAATTTGTAAGAACCAAAATTTATCTTAATTTTTAACTTTTTTAATTTTTTGGAACTATTCCTTTATTTGTGTTGTAAGAAGTTTCTTTTTGCAAAAATTCTAGGTCAACGGGAACTATCATATAGGTTTTCGGATACTTCCGGTTGACCTAGAATTGTCAATTTTGGTTAAAAGCAAGGTCTTATAGCACAAGTAAAGAAAAAAATCTGAAAAATAAAAAAAAGTTGAAAATTAAGGGTAATTTTGGTACTTACTAGTTTTCGCGAAAATCGAAATTTGCCCATATCTTTTTATCGTGTTGACTTAGGATTTTAATTTTTACACCTAATAGGGACCATAGACCTCAGTATCTGGTATAAATTTCAACTTGCTAGGTGTACCCGTTTCTGAAAAAATCGGTGGTGACACACGGACAGATGGATAGACGGACAAGAAAGTGATCCTTTTTACCTTTTGAGGTACGGAACCCTAAAAATGATTTTATTTTCATTTGACAAGGGATCTCTGCTAATTAAGTTTTAGGGTTTTAAGTCCCGAAGGCATATTGCTTACTTAAACGATACTTTAATTGTGATTGCAATCTAAATGAACTACCATAGTACATTGGACACTACTGTGTTATGAAGAGCTACGATAATCGAAGTCTTTGAAGCCTGGAAGAACAATCACTACTGTCCATCCGTCACTCGGCCAATGTTAAAGGTTTATGAAGAAATTAAAAAGGAGCAACCGATCCTTACCATCATTGTGTCTCTCTTGCGGTATTTGCAAATTTCATCAAAACGAAGATAGGAAAACGCTTACGCTGAACATAAAGTATCGGTAACAATGACGTAGCATTAATGAATATGCTTCCTGGCCATATAACCAAGAAAGAAGCAATTTCATCAATTTTCAATATCCATTCCATCCAATAAAATAAATTCGTTAATAAAGACAATATCCAAGTCTTGGCATGGTTCCTTAACTCATTTAAATCATGGTTCCTTAACTGAATAAATATAATATAATAACAATATAACCTCACACACGGCTGTCTGATCCCAAACTAGGCCGAGCCTGTGCTATGGTGACTAGACTGCTGATAAAGATAGTTAAATATTTTTAAATACATAATATAGATAAATAACACCCAGACACAGTTATCACACAATTATTTGTCCTAGGTGCGAATCGAACCCACGACCTCTGGCTCAGCAGTCAGAATCACTAACTACTATATCAACAGGCCTGTCAAAATAAAACATAGGGTTTTTGTTACTCTATTATTTAAAAATATGCAGTTAACGTAAAACGTTGCATAAATAAGTAAGATTATAAGATAGATATGAAGTTTTGGTGAAACATTTAAGTTTCTCCACAACTTCATTACTAGTTCACAACATAATGTAGAACTACCTTGAATTGATTAACTAGTTAACCTTCCTAGTAGGAACCGAAGATAATTGTGTTAACAATTGTGTTAAGGGTATTGACAAACTTTAAACAAATGTAACAATGATAAAACGAAAATTCAAAGTAATTTTATAAGTAATGACATGTTAACAAAGATATTGAGTTGTAACTAGTTGTAAGCATTATTTATGGAAATTCTTAGTGCCCACACGTTAAAAAAATGAAAACAACAAGGCCACTTTATTACTCAGTAATCTGTGTTAAACAACCGCCTCATTCACGAATGATCACTTAAAAACGTTGACTGTATTTTTTACTCGATCTAAACACAATCATTTATCACAGCCGACTTAACAATTAAAAAAAAGTAATAGGCACTTACTCATTGTTGTCTTCCTTAACCGTGGCAGTTGCTCGCGGTGACAGATGTAGCCATTTTATGGATTCTGATGCGTCTAATCCTTTCTTCTGCAGCCAAACGGGTGATTCGGGTAGAGGTAGTAGTACCACAAATAATGCCACTGAAACAAATTACAGTAACATTAGAAATTACCTGATGCTACATGCCATTCTTTTTATGTTTATTTTCTGGCATGAGATGTTTTATTTAACGAATTATACTTTTAAATGTTTTCGAGGTTATCACATAACAATGACGTGCTGAAATAACATTGAATAGTGTAAATTATACCCATAATTCATGAACGCATTTAAAATTTCAACTGTGTTGACAAATGAAACGAAATATATTTACAAAATGCTATATTAATTTTACTTTTTAATTAATTTACTAAATGAGTGTAAATACTATCGTCACTGAATAAATTATATACAAAGTAGTGCCAGAATTCGATTATTTTATTTTTAATGATAGAGATAGAGGGGGGCAGACGAGCAGACGGGTCACCTAATCGAAAGTGACCATCGCCGCCCATGAACGTCTGCAACTCAGGAGTCACAAACGCGTTGCCGGCATTTTAGGAAGGAGTACGTTATTCTCTTGAAGGTCGTATCGGTCCGGAATTACCGCAGACGATAACCCGTTCCACAGTTTAGTTGTGCGAGGCAAAAAGTGTCTCGAAAAGCGCACAGTGGTGGAGCGCCAGGTGATGGGGATGAAATTTTGCCGTGTGGAACGATGGCGGAAAGTTGCGGCCGTTATTAGTCCGAATTATTCCTCGGAGCACTCTCCATGATATATGCGATAGAGAATGTAGAGTGAAGCCCCATCTCTACGTAATCTCGTTTAAATATAACTTTTGGTAACATTGTTGAATAAAGAACATGATTGGGGTGTCTCCGTAAATATTACGGCTTTGGTGCAATTCTTGTTAAATACTCTTCTTTATAAGAAATACGTACCACAGAACACAGCAGACAAGAAAGCGAGGTACCTCCAGTAGAGCACGCTTCCACTAACATATGATATTATAATACCGAAGCACATTGAAAGTGTTGGTAGTGAACCCAAACGGCCGCGGATCTCAGGGTCGCAACATTCGCTCACCTATAAGGATTAAACACACATACATTGATAGGAATATACACATACAAATTTGGGTCCGCAATTCCCTTCAGTACATAGTTTTCAATCAGTGCAATATTATTCAAACAGCAAAGCAGACAATATGACAAATATTTTGCGATTCATGTAATAAAAATGATGAATTGCTAAGTAGTAACAGCTCTAATAACAAATATTTATACGACCATTATTTGTTTAGTTTGTTAACTCATATAGGTTGTATAAGCATGTCACTTTTTCTTTTAGCACTCTACTGTACAATGTTATATACATCCTTTAGTTATATAATCGGTACATCATATGTGATAATATCGGATACATTTATTCATTCCCACACACACACACACACAGAGAGAGAGAGAGAGAGAGAGAGAGAGAGATAGTGCACTGATGCTATTGTGATAATATATATGTATGTAAACATTGTACTTCTTTTCTATATCAATAAAAAATATCATTATTATTATTATTTATGTTATTTATTAATGTGATCTAGTAGTAGTGATTATTTTATTTAATAAAATAAATGCACTAGGACAGTAAATAACAAGCGACAGTAAAAGGGAGAAGGAGTTAAGGCAAATTAATGTCATACAATTTTCTTGGTCCTAATCTAATCAGTTTTTTTTTAATTCTTTATGCACAAGTGAAAATTGTACAATGGCGGACTTAATGCCATAGGCATTTTCTCCCAGTCTACCTTAGGGTGGTGCTGAAATGTGTGGCTAAGTACACTAGACATTAATAGGTGAAGTAAATGAAAATGACTGATAAGTTAGGTAGAAGTAATGCGATAAATATACATACATTCATACGTACCAAATACATACACAAATACTTATATAGCAACATACATACATAAGCCTAAAAATCAATAATATATAAAATTTCAAGGTTGTAATGAATCTGCTAGCGTGTCCAGGATGCGAGCTCTAGCTTTCATCTTGAATGAGAGGCGGCTGGGTGCTATCCTATTATTTATTTTATATTTTATAGAAATCTTATGAAACTAAATTCTTCTAAACTCTTCTTTCGTAGATGTTTTTTCAATGACATGCTGAAACTCCAATTAACTAAGTATCATTAGATATAAACTTCCAAGATATCAAGTGTAGTAAACAAAACCTAGTAATAATAATGGCAATAGGAGATATTAAATTAATCTCACAAATACATTAAATATATGTAATAATAAAACAAGTATGAAGCATAAAACAGGTATAAGCCGTATCACATTATTTTTATCGTGAATTAAATTTTGTATACCAGAAATAAAAAACGATTTTATAATTAATAATGAATGCAAAACTTAAATTCAACACAGAACTAATAAAAAATATATGAAGTGATTATAAATATGCCTTCATTATAAAGGCACGAGAGACAGCGTGATTACAGCTGTAACTGACATTACATAATAATTATTATATTAGTTAATAAAATATAAAACAATACACAACTACAGCAATTTTCCGTGGGAGAGTCATCCTCTGGCACAATTGGCCTTACTCGATCGCTGTGCTACCATGGCCTGACAGAAAACCGCTGTTAAGAAGTTCTTTAGTTAGTTAGTTAATGTAAAGAATTGAACTAAGACTATCGCGAAAAAGCCGTGGAAACCCGTACGTCTATTCTTTGATTGGAGAGGCCACTAGGTAGCGGGCATTAACTAGGCAAATTAAAGAGTATGAGAACGTAACAGAATATCAGTTATATTTGAAATTTTGTCTCTAATGCCTGTATCTAATGCCGTCTTACAGATAATCTTGTTGTCTTAATCCAGCACGATGTGATTTAAGTCGATAATTGAATAATAATAATACTATAATATTTCGGACATCTAACACACATTGGTACTAATTCTGTTGTACGAAAACTCTCTACTCTAAACTAAATATCACTAAAAATGTTTCTAGTCCTGTCAAATACTACGTTTTCAAAATAGATAACGTTGTTTGACAGGACTAAACTAATTTTCAGTGATTTTTAGTTTAGTTTAGAGAGTTTTCGAACAACAAAATTAGCACCAATGCCATCTGAATTCAAACTAAGCAGAGCTTTTATTATAAAAGCTAGATTGACTGATAGAATAAGTAAAGGTTCCTCTTAAACTTAAGTCACAGTTAACGATTTTTGGTGCAGATACGAAAAATATAAGATTAAACTAATTGTTTAAATGAAGAATATAATATCTTTTTTAAAATCTCCATAAGTTTAATGAGAAGTATATTTAAAGATTTGCATTGACTTGACCGTAGAAATCTATTTTCACATACTCAAGATGCGTATGACTGAAAATTAATAAATTGTTTCAACATGGATTAAAAAAAAATGTTAAAAGAAATAAGTGGTGAGTAGTTAGGATATAATGCAAATCTCGCCACCCATAAAACAGGTAATGTAATCTAATCTAGATTTCTCTTCTAGATCTATAATCTAGATTTAAAGTATTGGGGTTGCGTTTGTGACCACACATCTGCATCTAAAAATCTACGTAGTCTAAAAAACGTAGTCTAGGTAATCTCACACTGCCCAAGCTATTTGGAACGCAACTAGCTCTTACCAAAGAGATCAAATACCTAGGAGTAATACTGGACAGTAGACTCATGTGGAATAAGCACCTCGATGAAAAACTAAACAAAGCCTGCATTGTCTTCTTCCAATCCAAACGGCTACTCGGCAAAAGCTGGGGACTACAACCAAAAATTATGGCTCTATAGAACAGTCATAAAACCAATTATCGCTTACGGTGCTATTGTATGGTGGCAGAGAACAGAGCTAAGCACTTAGACACCTGGGTCTATGGCATAAAGCTGAGGGTTCGCACTCCAAATTATAGGATCAATTAGTGGGATACGAACCACTTATAGCAGTACCATGCGATAGTAACCTAAAACACCATATCTTCACAAAAAGATACCAGATTCAGATACAAGAAAATGACCGAGATCAATCCGTCATTAACGAAGTCCAAATTTACACGGACGGTTATAAGACTATGTCAGGAACTGGGGTCGGAGTTTTCGAACACAGTTCCCTATTCCAATGCGAATGTGTGGCAATAACTTACGCCGCTACAACGGCGTATTATATAACAAGAGGTATTACGGACTATAACATCTGAATTCTAACCGACAGCATAGCCGTCCTAAACGCATTAGAGGGAACACAATAACCTCTGGTATTGTCTTCGAATGCCATCAAGCATTGGAGCAGTTTGTCACATTAAATGAGGTACTCCTTCGATGGATTAAAGGGCACAGCAACTCACACGGGAACGACGCCGCAGATGAGTTGACAAGGAGGCAACCCCGGTTACCGGCCCAACCATACTCGTGCCACTACCGTTCAACCAACTACGATTCTGGGACAGGCAACGAACTCGTGAAAAACATAAATGGAGGTGAAAAAAACTCAGCTCGCTGCAGACAGTCCAAACTGGAGCTGACTGAAGTCGCACCACGACTTACCTGCAGGTTGATAAGTCTCAGTTGATAAGTTTTAGGAACTATAAACAGGACATCTACCCTTTAACCGACAACTATTCACGATTAATGCGGCGGACAGTCCTCTTTGCAGAGGATGTCTGAAAGCAGAAGAAACGGCCGCCCATGTAATCCTTCAAGCAAGTATCATTCCTGATACAAAATCGCTCCTAGAAGCCTGTGAACGCTCCAGAAGGCTTCTGCGCTTCTAAAAGGAGCTTGGTTGGCTCACCTAGGCAACCTGTCCTCGACGTATAAAGGACCATTCTTGAGTCTAAATGCGGAAACCGGAGCCCACAACCGATACCAATACCTATAATCCAAACATCTAAAACTGACGCAGTTCTAATTTACAACAAGACCATTTTGTACTTACTATAATGTTCCATTATCTGAGAGCAAATGAATAGATAAGTTCACTGAACAGTTATAGTGACTTGTTGTATTACTGTTTCATCTGATAAGTACGCTTGGATAACCAACAATATGTTTACTATATAATTAATTATAGAAATATATTTGATATAAACATATCCTGGATAAACGAAGTTACTTTTAAGCCTAGTAAAACTGCTCGTATTTCAGTAAATATTTAATCCCACCAAAAACTGTTTCATGTAAAATGTTGATAAGACGAGACCATATGTTATGTCTCACATGGTCAAAAAGTAATCAGAAGGCCAATTCTCTCAATAAAAGTTCGGTCACAATTCAGTTCCGATCAACTCTCGATCTCAAAACTATCATATTAAGGTATTTTTGTAGCATAGTAATTAACATGTTTATTACTATGCTACCAAAATACCTTAATGTAATTATAATCTTGCACTCGTAATATGATTATATCGTACTGTAACCGAAAATTGAATCGGATGTCTGCTAGTCTTAGTATTATTTTACTACGAAAATACCGTTTATGACACTTGCGATATCGAGAGTTGATCGGAACTGAATTGTGAATATTGTGGCCGAACTTTTATTACGAGAATTGGTCTTCTGATCTCATATAGGGCAAGCTTCTAACTCCACACTCTAACTCTACAAAGCGTTGCTTGTAGATACTTTGTAATATTTTATTATGCCACAAGTTGTCACCGGTATGGACAACTTAAAACAGTGAAGAAAGATAAGACCAGAGTGTCGTTGTTCTGTAATCTTTCTATCGAGTGAAATTCTACGCTGATAAAAGTGCGGACAACAGTATGTACTTACATATACTTGTGCAGGGGCTAACACGAACCCAACTCCAACACCACTGATAAGCCGTCCGAGCAGCAGCAATGGGTAGTATTTTGCGAAGCCAAGTATTAACCACGATGCCACCCATATCGGCGAGGTAAGTTGTAATGTGCGCTTGCGACCTACGCGCTCCATTAAGGCTCCTGACAGCATACTGCCCATAAACGCACCCAAAGGCGGGATTGCACCTATAAATTTACTTGTTATAAGTACAAAAAAAAAACACATTCTACTTATTAAATACTAAAGGTGTTTAAGGCATTTTACAGAGTACCCTTCGACTTCAATATTCCGACCATTCCGACAACAATAACAAGTAAAGCATTGTTTAACACTCTTATAAATTAAATTAAAATAAAATTGTTGGAACGAAGTGCCTTATCGCGCGTTGTGAAAGGGGGCTAGACGGAAAAAATAGTCACGAAAAGTTGTAACGACACTTTTTATGTCATTCATTCAGCGCCATCTATCGAATAGATAGGAAATCATTTCTCAAGGAGATTTTACCAATGTATAAATTGTTTTAATTAGAAACCAACTGAAAAATATGTAGGTAATAGCCGCTTTCATAGATGGCGTTGTAATTAAAATCGTGTCGAATCAGTTTTACTCGATCGTCACAACTTCGTTCCTATCGGGAGTCCCACGACACCACACTTTCTTTTTTTTTTCATCAGTATATCAAAACAGAAGACTGACGGATACGACGTTAAATCTCCTCGTTAAGTCACCTCATTCTGAAACCTTGGCGTCACAAATAAACACGGAAACACCTTTAACTTTGTATGCTAAATGTCTCTTAATATTTGAAGGATTATCCTATCATAGAAATTACTAATATATTACACAAATCTATATTGGGTCAATGCCACGAGTTAGTTAGCAATGTATTGTAAATTATAGGCTACAAATATAAATTATTAACATGGCAAATTAAAAAATAAAACTAGAACTACACTGACCTAAACATATTTAGTGAATGACTGGAGCACCTATATATAGTAAAACAAATCGCACATCTGGTCACGGAAATAGACAGTAAATTCAAATCATTTTCTAAATTAAGGTGTCCACCCACTATAAGGTAATCGGTGACGGTCACTGTTTTAGAATTAATCGCCTCTGTACCGTACTTTGCTACGACATCTATTCTCAGAAAATATGTAGCTATATTTCAAAAGGTGACATTTTACATGTTGGTAATATTGTGATTAATAATTATAACACTAATTGATTACCTTTTTTATATTTTTATTATGAATCATAAATATGTTTAAAAATATAATTTGCATGTAAAGGTAATGAAATAAAGAGAATAATAATAAATTATTTGCTCGAGTAACATTTGACTCATTTGCTTAATGTCACAGCTGACTACTAGGTTCATAATTATGAAAAATTTGTTACCTATCCATGATTTCTGTTCACTGCTTTGGATGATTGCAGGGTCGTTATCTTCGATCGATGGGATTGCAGAAGCCGAGTATCCCCTCACAAGTCCAATGACTAGAAATGACAGCGATGCTCCAAAGGTTAGCCATAGCTGTAAAAAGGATGTATGGTCAGTTCATAATGATTACAACGTACGTCATTCATTCGCATATTTTACGCTGAGAGCTATCTGCTTCAATTTACACACTCAATTTGACTACTCTTGCCAACAGTTCTGTTATATACAGAACTGGAACTGGTTATACCTGCTAGGTAGGTAACCTATCTGTATAGTGCACTGCGTGTTGCTAATTATGTTTAAATACAAAAAATATTTCAATGACAATGCGTTAAGGAACCAGTCTGTTTACGGAATATTCAGGTCTTTCTTGCAGCCTGCTAAATGCTTACTTTAGTGAGTGCAATTTGACGCTGAAACGTCTAACGTCGTTTTAAACTAATTTTTTGGTCCGTTTTGCATCCTATGTATATGTTCAAAACGCCACGGATTTCAAATAAATTTTTGCAAAAATAAATAAATTTCAAAATCAAAATGATGATTACAAAATTCATCTGCAACGTATCATTCATCTGCTACATTACAGTATGTGCAGTTTTATTACATTTTATTACGTAAAAAATGCATATTATTCCTTATGAGATTTAATTCCGTCCTAGCGTAACATTGATTAATTTAATTACTATATTCCAAACGTCTCGTGTGCTAGTTCCGAGAGAAGGCATTACTAAACTATGATAATTTTTGTTTTCTTTTGACTGTATATAATATAAACTCGAGTTCTTTCCAAATAATTGCAATAAATTCGGAAAATTATAATTGAGATATTTAAACTCAAAATAGCTTTATGAAATTGTATCATATTTATATTGAACTAGATCCACACAAAAGCAGCACACACACAACTACTTTTGAAACGGATGAATCAAAATACCGACTGACAAATTACTTGCTTAATAAATTGATCAATTTGCTATTCACGTAGCCATTTTTGTATTAAATATACAATTGGGTGCACCAACTGGCGGCATGACCAGCGGAAGAGAACTATCACGTCGTAGCCACATTGCAACTTTACAGTGACTCACATGCGTGTTAACAGTGTGATCATTCACGTGTTCAGCTGTCCTTGCTTTAAAGGTTCTCTTAATAGTCCTGTAGCTTCCTCAACACCAATCTGCGCTCGCGATGTTTCCAGGAGAAGAAATAGTTCAATATTTTCATTTGTATCACTGAACAAGTTTCATAATAACCTAACACCAGATTGTAGCTTTAATAAATAAGATTATTATGTGTTCAAGAAGATGTTTACACTGTAATGTGTAAAACGTTTCAGCGTCGACAATCATAAGTCACTTACTTTATTATTTTTCAATTTTGGTTTAATCACTGTATGAATTTAGATACCATCGTGCATTCCTAAGGTATAAAGCAATTAAAATGATTATAACTGCGGATTATTTTATGCATGAGCAACCAACTTTGGATTTCATATTATGAAACACATGTTCATGTTTCTTCAAAGAATTGATTCGGAATTATTAAAATCAATGTACCGTTTCCAGATGGCGTTAAATCTGCAGCAAAAGTGCTACAAAGAATCAAAACTTGGTGCAGATTAGTCTCTGAGTGAAAAGTGTAAATAATCTAACAATTACAAAAAAGGGAAGTGAACATTGCTGTTAAACTGGTCACAATTGACGAATGTTATGAAAGGAATAGCAAAGTGAATTGACGAATGTTAGGAAAATAACGACAAACTAAACAAAGTAAATTTCGAACGAAATACAGATAATTTCCTTAACGAAGTATGATAATACTAAGACAAATATATATTGTGCTAGTGTCACATCGATCTAACAAGCAAAGTCAAGTTAACAAATGAATTACTAAACCAACCTATTTGCGCATACACTATTATTCCTTAAGTATACACTACGTACAATAACTTTATCAATAACACCTGTTTACTAATTGGCATTGTGACAAAGAAGTCATTATTTGGTATTCTTTTAAGTTTCCTTAAAATAATACCAAATAATGACTTAAACAAGACTGACTGAATGACTTAAGACAAAAACAATTTCAACAGTAAATGGAACTCAATCACAAAATAGAAGATGCATCTGAGCAAAAACAAATCGTTACTGTATCACATACTATCTAAGGTCACCTTTTGATAAAGTAGGTACTTCTAAGCAAAACATGTTTGTAGCCCGTTCACAAGTCGTAGTCAATTTTGAGCGTGTATTTCGGTAGTTACTGGTTTTACATGTTCTGTACATTATATAATATTATTGTATTCTAAATCTTAGACTTCCAATCTTCTAGTTAATTCTATAGTGTGATGTTTAAATGCTCATAAAAAATAATTTTGCATCGGGCATTTAAAATTAAAATTTATTTATTTACTAGCTAGTTATCGCGGTAAAAAGGTGCCTATGTTACTCGCTTATAATTATTATAAGCTTATCATTGGTGAAAGAATTTTTTAAATCGGCTCAGTGGTTTCGGCGGGAAAGTGTAACATACAAAGTTACTTTCACATTTATAATATACAAATCCTAGATAGGCATCCTTAAAACTAAAACCAAAACATTTAACACATATAAAACATTAATTGAAGGAAGTTTAATTGAAAATTGATATTTAAAATTTTCAAGGTCACGTGTTGAGTAATATTGTATTGTTTTAAACATTTTTTATAATTGATAAAGTTATTTATTCATAGGACAAACATTTTCTATTTACTTTAAATTGTTGCTTATTTTTACTGTGGTTGGACTAAATGGGTTGGATTATTTAATAGAATTTCCTAGAACGTGGCTGTAGTTACTCACGTAGAGACAAATAAAACTATTTATAACAAATTCACCACATAAATACGACCATACAAAACATATTTTCCAATGTTTTCATAACACATTACAAGCTAAGTTCATCTTAAACAGTCTTGCATGAACATCCGTTAGAGATCTATTATTGATAAAACACAATCGTCCTTCACTATACAATAGATAGAACCCGCAGAAGTTAGCTACACTAATTTACAATATACGGAAATTGAGCTGTTTGCAACCACCGGAATCGTCACGCTTATCTGTGTTCTAAACTTCTTCAAATATTAATTTATTTTTAAGGTTTATTGTGTATACGTTTTTTTTTAACAAATATGCATATATTTTTAATGTATTTATTTTTTTCTATGTTAGCGGTATAGCCTACTAGCCTAGTTAATGCCTAGGCCTAGACTAGCAACAGAAATCTGTAAAAAAATATGAAGATGTTGCTTATTTTAGAAAAGTAAATGTATAATTTGCAGTTAAACTTTATTGAGGATAAGATACTTATATCAGAGGTCATTTTAAAAACTATTTTAACCTTGCACTTCAATGGCATAGTGCCTATTAACTCCTATTTGTATACGTATTTAGACGATTTTTAGATATTTGTGTACTACTGGCTATTTTGATTTATAGTGCACAACAGTATGATATTATACCTATATAATAATTGGTCTAGTGGTTAGTGACCCTGAGTGCTAAGCCGGGGGTTTTGGGTTCGATTCCCACCCAGGACAAATATTGTGTGATGAGCACGATCATTTGTACTGTGTCTGGCTGTAATTTACCTATACTATGTTTGTATTCAGAAATATATAAGTGTGTTTATCAACAGTCTGGTTACCATAGCACAGGCTTTGCCTGGTTTGGGATCATGTGTGGAGTTATTATTATAATTAGATAAATAACCAATATTGGACAGACATGGGATGGAACACGAATTTCACTTACACGTGTCCGACTATTGTGATCGGTCAAACGCTAAGATAACGAATTTTTTTAAATCATCCATCAAGCGATAAGACATTTAGTCACCAAAACAAAAATAAACTAAAAAAAAATAGTGAAAATTAGGCGATACACACTATATTAATTAGTATCGTTGATCTTTTGTTTTCTGTTTAACATCACAATTTTCAAGGAATAAAGAAATATACGGTGTGCGCACCCAAACGATTTTTACCAACGACACCGCGGAACGACACCCCAGTTGGTAAAAGAAAATAACTCGGACATTCCCAACGAAACCACTAATTGTTTAATGTTGTAAAACAAAACAAAATTATAACGTTATTAAAAAAAATATTATAAAAAATTAATTTTATGAATTGAATATTTTATCTTAGCTTTTTCGTTCGTTAACTGCATTTGGATATGTCTTATAGCGTCAGCATTTGCCACTAGCCTTTTACTTCTCGTAGGGGTATTTGATGAATTTCATCTTATACCTTTAAACGAGCAATTCTTGTATACATGCATATATATATACCTATACAGAATCTCGGAAACGGTTCCAACGATTTTCAGGGAATTTGGTATGCAGGAGGATTCGGCTGCGTTTAATCGATCTAGCTAGGTCTTCCACTAAATACGAGTACGCTTAATATGATAAGGGAATATACGAGTACTTTCAACCAAACCCGTTCTATATATATCTATATCCATCAATATATATCTCACTCAACAAGATCTAAATAGAGTTGAGGAGTGGTGCAGTCTCAACCAGATACTGCTTACTGAAGAAAATTGCTATCACTTTTCATTTTCCAAGAACAAATACCCAACAATAGAAGTACAGAATTGGCATTCCGCACTACAGACAGTCTCTGAGACAAGGGATCTTGGTGTAATAATTAACAGGGCACTTCATTTTACATTATATATCGACGCGGACGTAAGAAAGGCAGTCCAACAAATTAAGTTTTGTGTTTTTTTTTAATGTTCATTAAATTTGTATTCTATCTGCCATCATACCTCCACATCCACAACCCAAGTACTAGGCGATTTCGAAGTTCTTGTCGGACTTTTAGGGCTCCAACTACTCGTAACGATTGCCACCGACGCTCGTACAGCAACCGCGACCGACACGGCGACGGCTTAACGGTAGAATGAAGAACAAATTATAAAGAAGAAAAAAATTAAAAGTTAGGTGTAAATATTATGGTATGTTGAGTGACTAATTGTACAAGTACTTCATTGATTAACAATATTTCTACATCTTATACACTCAGATAATAAAACAAATAAGAA